CTATATCTTCGGCAATAATCATCCGATCCTAAAACGGAATACCTTAAACGATTCGTAGATCTATTCTGCATAAATCTGCATCAAAATCTGGAAACAACATATTTTTCAGATTTCATTGGCGGAATACCTTAAGCGGTTCGTAGATCCATTCTGCATAAATCTGCATTAAAATCTGGAAACAAAATATTTTTCAGGTTTTTTGTCAAATTTCCTGGACGACCCCCTTCAAAAATCTAAAAAATCCTTGGAGCCACTTTTTGGTCTCCTATGAAGGCTATACCTTTGGCAATTATCATCCGATTCATTGGCGGAATACCTTAAACGGTTCGTAGATCCATTCTGCATAAATCTGCATTAAAATCTGAAAACAAAATATTTTTCAGATTTTTTGTAAAATTTCCTGGAGGACCCCCTTCAAAAATCTCAAAAATGCATGGAGCCACTTTTTGGTCTCATAGGAAAGCTATATCTTCGGCAATAATCATCCGATCCTAAAACGGAATACCTTAAACGATTCGTAGATCTATTCTGCATAAATCTGCATCAAAATCTGGAAACAACATATTTTTCAGATTTTTTGTAAAATTTCCTGGAGGACCCCCTTCAAAAATCTCAAAAATCTATGGAGCCACTTTTTGGTCTCATAGGAAAACTATATCTCCGACAATAATCATCCGATCCTTGAACGGAATACCTTAAACGATTCGTAGATCTATTCTGCATAAATCTGCATCAAAATCTGAAAACAAAATATTTTTCAGATTTTTTGTAAAATTTCCTGGAGGACCCCCTTTAAAAATCTCAAAAATCTATGGAGCCACTTTTTGGTCTCATAGGAAAACTATATCTTCGACAATAATCATCCGATCCTTCAACGGAATACCTTAAACGATTCGTAGATCTATTCTGCATAAATCTGCATCAAAATCTGGAAACAACATATTTTTCAGATTTTTTGTAAAATTTCCTGGAGGACCCCCTTCAAAAATCTCAAAAATCTATGGAGCCACTTTTTGGTCTCATAGGAAAACTATATCTCCGACAATAATCATCCGATCCTTGAACGGAATACCTTAAACGATTCGTAGATCTATTCTGCATAAATCTGCATCAAAATCTGAAAACAAAATATTTTTCAGATTTTTTGTAAAATTTCCTGGAGGACCCCCTTTAAAAATCTCAAAAATCTATGGAGCCACTTTTTGGTCTCATAGGAAAACTATATCTTCGACAATAATCATCCGATCCTTCAACGGAATACCTTAAACGATTCGTAGATCTATTCTGCATAAATCTGCATCAAAATCTGGAAACAAAATATTTTTCAGATTTGTTGTAAAATTTCCTGGAGGACCCCCTTCAAAAATCTCAAAAATGCATGGAGCCACTTTTTGGTCTCATAGGAAGGCTATATCTTCGGCAATAATCATCCGATTCATTGGCGGAATACCTTAAACGATTCGTAGATCTATTCTGCATAAATCTGCATCAAAATCTGGAAACAAAATATTTTTCAGATTTTTTGTAAAATTTCCTGGAGGACCCCCTTCAAAAATCTCAAAAATCTATGGAGCCACTTTTTGGTCTCATAGGAAAGCTATATCTTCGGCAATAATCATCCGATCCTTAAACGGATACCTTAAACGATTCGTAGATCTATTCTGCATAAATCTGCATCAAAATCTGGAAACAAAATATTTTTCAGGTTTTTTGTAAAATTTCCTGGAGGACCCCCTTCAAAAATCTCAAAAATGCATGGAGCCACTTTTTGGTCTCATAGGAAGGCTATATCTTCGGCAATAATCATCCGATCCTAAAACGGAATACCTTAAACGATTCGTAGATCTGTTCTGCATAAATCTGCATCAAAACCTGGAAACAGAATATTTTTCAGATTTTTTGTAAAATTTCCTGGAGGACCCCCTTCAAAAATCTCAAAAATGCATGGAGCCACTTTTTGGACTCATAGGAAAGCTATATCTTCGGCAATAATCATCCGATCCTTAAACGGAATACCTTAAACGATTCGTAGATCTATTCTGCATAAATCTGCATCAAAATCTGGAAACAGAATATTTTTCAGATTTTTTGTAAAATTTCCTGGAGGACCCCCTTCAAAAATCTCAAAAATGCATGGAGCCACTTTTTGGTCTCATAGGAAGGCTATATCTTCGGCAACAATCATCCGATCCTAAAACGGAATACCTTAAACGATTCGTAGATCTATTCTGCATAAATCTGCATCAAAATCTGGAAACAAAATATTTTTCAGATTTTTTGTAAAATTTCCTGGAGGACCCCCTTCAAAAATCTCAAAAATGCATGGAGCCACTTTTTGGTCTCATAGGAAGGCTATATCTTCGGCAATAATCATCCGATCCTGAAACGGAATACCTTAAACGATTCGTAGATCTGTTCTGCATAAATCTGCATCAAAAACTGAAAACAAAATATTTTTCAGGTTTTTTGTAAAATTTCCTGGAGGACCCCCTTCAAAAATCTCAAAAATGCATGGAGCCACTTTTTGGTCTCATAGGAAGGCTATATCTTCGGCAATAATCATCCGATCCTAAAACGGAATACCTTAAACGATTCGTAGATCTGTTCTGCATAAATCTGCATCAAAACCTGGAAACAGAATATTTTTCAGATTTTTTGTAAAATTTCCTGGAGGACCCCCTTCAAAAATCTCAAAAATGCATGGAGCCACTTTTTGGACTCATAGGAAAGCTATATCTTCGGCAATAATCATCCGATCCTTAAACGGAATACCTTAAACGATTCGTAGATCTATTCTGCATAAATCTGCATCAAAATCTGGAAACAGAATATTTTTCAGGTTTTTTGTAAAATTTCCTGGAGGACCCCCTTCAAAAATCTCAAAAATCTATGGAGCCACTGTTTGGTCTCATAGGAAAGCTATATCTTCGGCAATAATCATCCGATCCTTAAACGGAATACCTTAAACGATTCGTAGATCTATCCTGCATCAAAATCTGGAAACAAAATATTTTTCAGATTTCTTGTCATAGTTTTTGGAAGACTCCCTTCAAAAAGTCGAAGGCTACATCTTTGGCAATAATCATCTAATATTTGAGAATTAGAAAAATTTTCTGAAGTGTCTTTTTAAAAACTGTGAAAAATTCATTGAAGGACAATAAGATTCCGAAGTAAGATTATTTGTGTAAAGAAAATAAATGAAAGTATAGTATTTTAGATTAATAGATTTTGTTTATTAAAAATAATAAAGATAAAACCTATTAATAGTTCGAAGTGGGAGAGGAATAGAAGCCTGGGTCTGGGTCGGTTAAGTCATATTCATTAGCTTTCTGAATGAATTAGTTCTTGTTCTTGCGGTGGCGGCGGGTCTTGATGATGTGCTTGCCCCTCTTGGTCTTGCGCTTGTAGTGGGTCACGTGCTTCTTCTTTTTAGAGGACGAGGAAGACTCGGTGGTTGTGGTGGATGAATCCGAAGAAGAAGCCGTCGTGGTGGTGGTGTCCGAGGATGCAGCAGTGGTGGTGGTGGTTGTTGTGGCTTCTGTGGAGGTTGTGGTGGAGGTGGTGGCGGCGCTAGACTGGTCCACCAGGACACAGGCCAGGACAGCCAGGAGCAGAAAAGCACAGGTGAACTTCATGATGTTGGTTGATGGCTGGTTGGGATCAACTGATGCCGTTCTGGAGTTAGGCCCGTACTATTTATAGTACTATACGTACTATGTACGTACTATACCCCTCTGAATTACCCACTCTGGATTAACCCACTATCGTGAGAACTTAAAGCAAGGTTCTCATTTTGGATAAAAATAAGTACAAAACTAGTCCAAACAAACAAAGATTTGTCAATAACTATGCCTACCACAAGGCAGCTTCACAAATAAAACAAATTGTAGAGATCACAACGTTGTCGAAAGTGACGTCAATGGACTCTATTAAAGACCCAACTTTTGATGTTTAAAAATCTAAGACTTTCCAATTATGTAACTAATTCAAAAAATAATAATTACAACACAAGACTAACCGATTGATCCTAATAGCGTTGAACAAACAGTCCTTCTATTGAAAATCTCAGAAAACTATTGAATGGGTTATTCCAATTTATAAACAAAAATTGGGAAGAGCTTATAGGCTTTTCTTAACCAATATGCATCCGATTCTGAAAGAATTTTTCTGCATTAAATCGTAGGATCAAATTATTTTTTATAATTGGCCAGCTCCCTGCTGGACAACAGCGAGCAGCCCAGAAGAGTAAAAAGGACACACCTGCTGGGCCTCCCCTTACAACTATTATTTATTTCTACCATATTAATATGTAGAATTATCTATAAGTGAAGTTCATGTGATAACATTTAATGGTTGTCCCTAAAGGACAGTTTTAAATAAACTTTATCCTGCTATTAAAAAAAAAAACAATTATTTTGTAGAGTCCTATAAAAATTTCTCAAAATATAGATTTATGAAACAAATTATTTACCTAGAGGGTCCTTTGGAACATTTTGAAAAATGAAAGAAGGCTTGAAAATGCCAATATTCATCCACTTCTTGAAGGGAATACCCTCAACGTTTTTTTGTTACGTCAAATATCCCAAGATATTTTATTAAAATCTGTCAACGAAATATTTTTTAGATTTATGTAAAAGAGGATCTAGAGGATCCCCCTTTCTAGAGGATCCCCTTCCGAATTTGCAGAATGTACTGAAAAACTCTATGACCCCTAGCGAAGATCATATCTTCTCATATCTATATCATATCAATACTTTTATGATTTTTAAAAGTTCGAGAGAGGACTGGTAGTGAAAATAAGAACTTTAAATATTTGAAGTATATGTACATATATTGAGAATATTGGTATTAAAAAAAATGCAATGAAAATAATAATTTCTTTATAGATTCATAAAGTTTATTTTTTATATTCTAATAAATAAAGCACTTAATAATATATCAAAATGGAAGAGAGCCTGATCTGGGTCGGGTTAATCGTATTTAGAGAGATCCATAACGACTTAGTTCTTGTTTTTGCGGTTCTTGTTGCGGTGAATCTTCTTGATGTGCTTGCCCTTCTTGGTCTTGCGCTTGTAGTGGGTCACGTGCTTCTTCTTTTTGGAGGAGGAGGAGGACTCGGTGGTTGTGGTGGATGAATCCGAAGAGGACGCCGTGGTGGTGGTGGTGTCTGATGATGAGGCAGTGGTGGTGGTGGTTGTTGTGGCTTCTGTGGAGGTTGTGGTGGAGGTGGTGGCACCGCTAGACTGGTCCACCAGGACACATGCCAGGACAGCCAGGAGCAGGAAAGCGCAGGTGAACTTCATGATGATGGTTGATGGCTAGATGGGATCAACTGATGCTGTTTGGAGTGTCTGGATGCCTTTTATATAGCGCCAGATGGGCCTGGGTTTAGCCCACCATCGTGAGAACTTTGGGCATGGTTCACTTCGTTGGGCCTAAACCGAGAAAGCAGGCCAGGCAAACAGAACTTGGCCAAAAACGATGCCTACCAAGAAGCAGTTGTGCTAATATTTAAGTTTTCTAATGCCTACCATTGTAATTTTCAGCTGTTTGGTGATTGTTTGCTTAATTTATTGTTATAAACAGGGTTAATTCAAGCAGCATAATGTTCAAAAATAGGCCTAAATACAAAAAATTTATAAATATAGATATTTGAATGCAAATCCCATTTTAAAGGCCAACGGAAACTCTCCCGTTGCCAACTCTACACTAACTTTACAGGAATCGCTCCTGTTATTAACATTGGAAAACCAACAGAAAGAGACAGACATCCTTTTGGGGGAAAGAGATAACCAACAAAGGGAGAGCCAAACCAAAGACCGGGGTTGGAGTCCGAGCTGAAACGAAAAGCGTGGAGTCTGGGCTGGTATGTGGGCTCCTGTGGTTCCGGGTTGCGGGTTCCGGGGAGTGTCTGCTCCGTCACTGCAGTCTGAAGTGCAGGACCATCGACAGTGCTCACGTTTCCCTTCATCACCCTTCTCCGCCCTGGGCAATGTGTAGAGGTTAGGGTTCCTGCCTACAGTCGAGAGTCCTTGCAACTGCAACAATAAACTGGGCTGAGATGCGGCAAGGCTTCTCTGCTGGCGGCGGATTGGCTGCCGAGCTTAGCGGTGTGACTGTGTATGGCTGGGTTCGGCTGCGAGTCCTGTGCCACAGGACCCACACCCGTCATCCACCTCGCGGCCTGCACAAGTGCAAGGATAATGTCGCCACCGCCTGCCATGGCACTTGGGAAAAAGTTTAGAGTTTTGAAATGAAATTTTGGGGTTTTCTTAAAAAATATTTTTTAAGTTATGAAGTTCTTATTCGACTTGAAGTTATTAAGTGACTTTTTTTTAGAAGGATTTGTTGGGTAGCCTCAGTGATATTTTTGGCGAGTGCACTTGGGCTCCTGCTTCCTGGTCCTCCTGCTGCCACAGTTCCTGTTTCTGTTTCTGCGCCTGCATCGTTGCAGCATCGCATCGCTGCTGTTGCTGTTGTGTCTCGTTTTCGCCGGGCTGTATAAGGGGCACGGATGTGTGGGCGTTGGACGATGGTGGGTATTTTTGGTATTGTCGTTGGGTGGGGCTGATGTTGCCTCATGACTGCCTGCCTGCCTGCCTGCTTCCTGCCGCCTGACTGCCTGCCGTGTGCCACTTTGGCCATGTTCGTGGCCGTGGCCGTGGCCTCGACTCATGCGCTCGTTTCCCTCCAGCTTCAACTCCAGCCAAGGCCAAGCCGGCAGCCAACAGCAGGCAGCAGGCAGAGGACGACGTCGCCTCGCCGGCGATAATGTGGCACAATGACATTGGCATTGAACTAGGTCGAGGACGTGTTCCCCTTTGGCCACCATCACCGTCATCGCCTGTTTTGGTTAATGTTTGCCTCCGTCTTCGTGGCCTGTTTCTCGTGGGTGGCTTTTTTGTGTGGACTTGTGGTGGTTTCTCGTATTTTTTTTTGTCAGGACTTGAGTCCTGTCTTGGGTTGCAGGCTAAAATGTGGTTGCGGCATGTGGTATGCAAATTTTTACAAGAATTGTATGAAGATAGTCAAGATACTTTAATAGAAAGGAACTACCCAGTCTTATAAAGATTTAGAAATGTTTATTTAAATATTATTTTTTTCAATTAAAAAATATATTTAATTAAATTCTCATAGAACTATTCATCATTCAGCATATTATCCATCAAGATTATTTAATTAAGATTCCATATCTTCTACAAATCTTCAGCAGGACTAAATGATTTCGTAATCACTTTTTGTGCTCCCTTTGAGCAACTTATTTCAGCATCTTGGCACTTAATGGCATTCAGGATACAGGATTGAGGGCAATGGCCGAAAATTGCCGAAGATTAATGGAATTTTGCCAAAAATAAAAGCAACAAAGATGACTGGCAATCAATTAAAATGCATAGACTGCAGTCGTCGGCCTAATAAAAGGCTTTTTCTTCAATGTCCAGACAGTTTCATCTGCAATTTCTGTTTTCTGTTTTCCGTTTTTAGGGAATTGACCATGTTTGTTGAGGAGTGTGGGCTAATGGAGGGGGATTGGACAGAACAGACTATTATGGATGTGTCTGCGCTTTGTCTAACTTCTTGTTTTTGGGGGCGACGTGTCGGGCTTGGGGACGAGTTTTATTTATTTTAATTTAAATGAAATTTATTTTATACACACACGCACGTAGGCAAATGCACCTTTTTTATGCGGCTAGTCAAAAGCTAAGGGTTGATTTTGTACATTTATATATGCACATGGATTATGCACCCACACCCACAGACGCACAGCAACGCAGGGACTCACACATTTGAATTTATATGTAAAATGGAGTGAACTTTGTGGAGAGAAAATTAGAAAAATTAAACTCCCATTACATAATATTATAAATATTTAAAGAATCTTTAAAAAAGAGAAAACCTTACATTAATATTATTTCAAAGCTTTCTTTAAAATTGTCAACATGGCGTATGCGTGATATGTAAGCTGATTGAAAAATATCACTCATACGCCATATTGCCTTATGCATGTGATAACCAAAGTCCACCCTTTCATAGTCTATGTAGAAAATGCAACTAAAATGTTTCACATGCAGTTTGTTTTTGCTGTTTTATGGCCAGTGTCTGGCTTGCAACTGCAACACCACACTGCCCCTACCACACTATATTCCACACCCCATATCACCCACTGGCCTCTGTGGCATGATGAGACTGACTGCAGTTGCAGTTGTGGCAACAACATTTGTTCCTGCTATGGGTGTTGTTGTTGTTTCTGTTGTTTTTGGCCTGCAGTCTGGGTAAAATTTTTGCCATTTGATTGCATTTTGTTGGGCGGCGTTTTTGTGTGTAGAGCAGAGTTTGTTGCACTTTAGTATAAAGTTAGGCAATGCAAGCACACATACACACAGAAGAGGACATGGCAGGACACCCACATACACATACATACGGATGTAGAAAAACGCAATGACACACACACACACACACATTTACTTTTGGCCTTAGGATACTACAAAACTTCTACATAGGCCTTTTCCCAGGACATACGTACGTACGTATGAACAAATAAATAATGTTGTGTGTGTCACTGCATTTATGTAAAAGTTTTCTTTTTTTGTTTTTGTCTCAATATAAACGTATATAAATCTCTATACATATTTTATAATATGTATACATAAAATTGCCATTTTTTAGTTTGATTTTGCTTGCTGTCGTCTGCTAAAAATAATAACAAAATGGCCGGCCTCTCATAGTACAGTTGTGCGCAAAACATCTTTAAATGCAGTTTTATGTGTGCTGCAATATATTTTGCATACTTTTAGACTTTGAACAAGAAACAAACTTAATGGGGAAGAAGTGTGTGCCTCTTAGGAGGTACGATTATACCCCTTCGTTTCAAAAGTACCAAAACCTACTCAATCCTTTAATTATAATCCTAAAAAAGGAACAAATACTAAAGCTAACACCCTTTTCTAAAACCTAATTCTACTACCTAAAGTTGAATCCACAGAACATCCTCTATACAAGGACCTTCCATCTGTGCAACATCCAAAAATTTGAAATGCTTTTTTACGCGTGACACACACGCACACTTGCCACACTAGGAGGCACAGCCATGCCAGGAGCCATGAGTTGGCATGTGCAGCAAGTGGCAGAGGAACACTGGGCGTATACGTCATATATGTGGGATCTCCTCAGGAGGCGACCAACTCCCGACTCCCGACAATTCGGTCGACTGCCGACCGGTTTGTTTAGAATTTTAGATTTTAGCGCGTTTTAGAATTTTATGAATGAAATTTTCGGCGCTCGGCAGCAGAGCTCCGTCTGCCGGGTCACACACCCTTTTTTTTGGGCCGAAACACCACCGAAACCCCCCTATATCACACTATAAATGGATGGGCCACTCCGATTCGTTTTGGGCTCGATTCACTTTTAGTTTTTGGTTAGTTTTCGGTTCCCCATTTTGTTTTTTGGGGTGAGGGGCGGTGTGTCGGGGGGTGCGACCTTGCCCCGTGCCGGGCTTTACGGGTGTTCCGGTGTTGTTTAGATTTAGTTTCTGTTGGGTGTTGTGCACTTCTGCTGGTCCATTTTAGCAGTTGGCACAAATCTGTGAACCTACACACGTGCTGGTCGGGCCCTTAGACAAAAGTCGATGCCGTATCCCTTTTTTATTATTCTTGCATAAGAGTATTGATTTCATGGGGAATATACATATATATACCTATAGTAGGGCTTTATGGCAATTAGAAATAAGAGGATTTTGTTAACAAGATTTTAAATGATGTTGACAATAGAAAGATATAAAGATATATGGATTATGAGTATATAGTATCTTGTCATGCTATAGGACCCAAGTCATGTTTATTATACTTAGATCTTATTACCCTCAGGCCTATGGATCTTGTTATAGATCTTATAAAGATATGAAGCTTTTCTTTCATGGTTCTCGTTCATTTTTTTTCAATTTTTTAAAAAAATATGAATTTGATATTATTATATTCTATCCCTGTTCTTTGAGCTAAAATATAATCTTTAAGCTGCATAATGTATAAAAAACTATAGATTAACTTATAAAATAAAATATTAAATGCATATGTATCTATATAAATAATAATAAACTTTTAAAAAAACCTTTCAAAAAACTATTCTTTGTAAAATTTTCTCGAAGTTTAAAATAAACCTCACCCCCTCGTAAAAAATCTTTATTTAAAAAAAAAACAAAATGATTTGTAGCCCCTTCCTTTAAGCTAAACATACCCTTTTACACACACACATATAAATCACTTGAATACATAAGTGCACTTATGTAAACGCCTATGTACGAGGTATTTTAATAGGTTTTGTTAGATCTGATGCAGGCGAAAATGGCTATTTAAAAAGTGCTTTTGAAAAAAACTGTTGCACCTGCCGGCGCGCGCTCAAATTAACTAACGGGACACCTCCGAACAGGCAGGAAGAGCGGCGCTCTAACTTCCAGAGAGCCGGCGAGAGAGCACAGCCTCCTATAGAGAGCCAAACGAAGTTAGCCGAGAGGACAAATACAAAAGCGAAAGCGAGGAGTTGTTCATAGTGCGTGTGAGTGTGTGTGTGTGTTATGGGAAGAAAGAGGACATGGAGGTGGCGTCTGTAAGCACGTTCAACTACATGTGTGTGTATGTGTGTGCGTGTGTGAGTCCTGTCGCTTTGTCGGCAATTTAAAGAGTAAATAATTGTCTGCCGGCGGCAAACATTTGGCCAAACTGCTAGTCCAGAGCATCGACACTGTCCTCTGTATTGGAACTGTTGTATCCGTATTGGTATTTATGCGAACTGTGTGAGTGTGTGTGTGTATCGGCTTCTCTACACAATTTTAGGCGCCGGCCATCACAGACGAACGCACTTTCAATCAGTTTACTTTATAACGTCAGTGGCGACACTACGTCATCCGGTCGTGCCAAAATCTCCGGTCGTATCTCATCGCAACCGTATCCTATCGCTTCCCGTCGCAACGACGCCCCCCTGTTTATTTTTGGCGAAATTTTCACTGTCGCGTTTTTCACTTTCACGCGATCAAAACATCAACAACTCACGAAATCTCGTGGCAGACATTTCTTGGTAAACAATTGATGGGGCAACCTCGTGTTTACAACCTCATGTTTCCTAGCCGACAATTGAAAAATGTGAACAGAGTTGGGAGCAATTGAAAAGCCAGTGAGTACATAGCCAGTTTTAGGTACCTACATGCAAATCACTCAAGGGAAGTAAAGTGAACTATTAAAGGCGCTCAAAAGTATGCTACATTTTGTGGATAGTCCGCTATTGCAAGAAAAAGTGATTTATTTTTTAAAATTTAAATGATAGGGATTAAAAATGTGTACTTTTTCTTTACTTGGAAATTAATTTAAAATATTATTATAAATTCTAAAGTATTTGAGTAAATTTTATATTTTAAAAATAACTTTACTGCCCTTAATCCTTCAAAGTATGAGGTTTTGACTCTTTAAAGTTGTTATTAAGGATAATAGTTGTTGTCGAAAAGAAGTTTTTGTTTTTTGTAATATATTTTAATTTTATAGAAAAAGACGGTTTAAAAAAATTGAATAAATGTTTTTTATGGAAATTTTTTAGATTTTGTTTAGAATTTTTTATAAATATATGTATTTAATATTCTTATTGAAAACTGCATTCTCAGGAGTATTCCTACTCGAAGATTTCAAAATCTTGTTTTTCTGATTTCAAGCTTTCCTTAAAAAAAAGTACTTCTAAAACTTAAATCAAATAATAATTAAATAGTCCTATTCATTCCCTGAAAATAATCCCCTAAAATCAAAATATCTCATAAAACCCCTCAACACCATTTTTTAGATGCATCTGGCAAAGAAAAAATTCTTAAATAGGTGAAAACTCACTGAAAAAACTTTCTTCCTTCACTTCCTTGTACCACTTGATTCGCAAACACAATCAGGCCATAAATCAGTATTTAATGTCCTTAAATCGAAATGCAGAGTCAACCGCAACGTCATCGACATCATATGACCGCGTTTCCGAATTTCCCCGAAACTTCTGTGTACGTGAGTTGTGTGTCGGCGCCGAAATACAAAATACAAAATTCAGAGAACGGAGTAGAGGACGACGGGTCATGGCCACGGCCACGGCCACGGCCACGAATATGGCATTTCGGCGACTCCGGCCATGACTCCGTTAGCCGGGCTTCGCCGTGCGACGCAGTTTCACTTTCACGGCGCACACACAGATGCTGGTGCTGCTGCAAGAGGCGTGCAATCCGTGGCGAATTGTGGCACCAATGGGAGTTTTGTGGCGCAACGGGCGCGACTTGCATCTGCCTCACAGTACGTCTTTGCCGAAAAACAACAGGGGGGGCATGGACACCGACACGGACACGGATACGGACACAAATACGGTTGCGGCCACGTTTATGGCCCAGCCGAAAAAGCACAGTGGTTGCATGGTGGGATGCATGCCACAAAAATCCTAAGACCTTTAAAAATAATAGTTTTTTAAAAGAATTTAATATCCTATAAATATTTTTAAAATATAAATATTTAGAGAAAGGTTTATTTAAAAAAAAAAAAGGATAGACCCCAGTTCATGACCTTTTAAATGCATTTCCTACCACTTGTAACACATTTTGCATCCTCACCGCCACAAAGATTGTGAATGAGGTATCCATATTTCGAGGGTGGTGGTGGGAGGTGGCTCCAAAGCCAAGTGGAAAGTTTGTTGACGGGTTGACCGGCAGATGCGTCGACTTTCTACCACCATTACGACCACGACACCGTTAACGAGAATGATGATGCAATGGATGCCGTGGATGCCGTTTGAGGTGGCTATGCAAAAACCAGAGCACACAGCCACCACCACATGCGCACGGAGAGTTGCACTTGCCACACCACCCTACCACCCCACCACCCAGATGAGCCACCAAGTCTGCCTGCCGCAGTCGTCACTCTCACTCTTCGGTGTGAGTACTCGGTGTTTACCAGACAACGAATGCAATGGGAGTTCAAGTACACTGAGAGAAACGAATAATACCTCTACTAAATAGACGCTATAATTTTGGAAATTTTAATCGTAAATTAGAGGGTCTTAGTTTAATTTCTATAGGCTCATAATCTTTTTTTGTAAAATTTTGATCAAAAATAATTTCCAGTGTAGTATAGAGTGCAGTTACCTCTCCTTCTGGAGAAATACGATTTTGTGGTGTGGGTGGTCGTGGTTCCTGGCTACGGGTTGGCTGCCCCTTTTGCTTTGGTAGGCCGTTTGCCGGAAGCATCCTCTACGTCATCGCCATCGCCATCGCCATAGCCATAGCCATCGCCACCGTGCCGGAATTCGTGTCCGTGGCCTGATTTCGTCGATTGGCCTTGTGTGCGGGTTTCAGTGTCAGGAGCGCAGCATCTTTGTTTTGGTTGCACTTGTTGTTGTTGTTCCTCTCGGGGCTCGACTTCCAATGCATATATGCAAATTTTCCCACATCCATATTTGTGAATGGATAAGTCACATGCGAGTATACTGGAAGGGGGAATGTACCCATTGTCTGGAGTATAGGGAGCTGAAACTGGGCCTTTGTGGGCCCTTTAAGTTCTCAATGGGCAGTGGAGTTTGTGTTATATAGAGGTATAGTGTTTAATATAGAGCATGATAATCTAATTATCTTCTCTATTTAGAAACGCTTTTAAGAATACAATACATATAATCTTCAGTTTAGCTATGTACTTACTCCACTTATGTCTAAACGCCTTTCTGCTCGGCTTAGTCTTAGCCCGGAGACCTTCTTATAATAGTAACTACCTTAATTCTTATAAAGATTAAAAAACCTATACTTAGTAACCGATTTCCAGATGATAACTACCAAGTAATGGGTGTCAATTGTGAAGAAAATGAAGTCGTAAGCTGTCTGTTGGTGGAGTGCTCTGGTGGTGATTATTGTCCGGCGGAAAATTATTGTTTTAATCCCAAGTGTGTCTGCCGGAAAGGATATCGAAAGGTACGCGGTGTCTGCATACCCAAACATACCTCCCTCTATTTAAAACCAAAGGTCTTGGAAACGGCTTTGTTGGAAATGCCTTATCGAGAGGATTTCTCTTTAAAGAAATATTAAAAATGAAAAAAATCACCCCCTAAACTATGCTACACTTATTTATCGCTCAACAAACCCCATTATAATATTTATAATAACATCATCTATCGATAAACTTTTGTCAACTAACTGTATTTGCTCTTTTCAAAATGGCAAAAATATGTGAAATGTCTGTTTTTTTTTTTTTAATATTCCACTACACGAGAGAGAGAATTGTTTGTTGTCTCGCGCTCTCGTCGATTCTCTCACAGAAACGCACACAACCGTAGTTAGACAAACTAACACAATTACGGCTCTGTGCCGGTTGAAAGCCGAACGCCTATCGAACGATGCCGGGATACCGGAGTCCCAGAGTGGCAGACGTAGCCGGGAGTGGAGTCTTCAGTAGAGAAGCAGCTACGCCACGCGCCGCCAGGTGGCTCGCAGATGTGGATGCGGCGGGTGTTTTCGGGCGCTGTGCATGTGCATGTGCACATCAGACATTGAACGGTACTTCCCCCTTTGGCTCACCAGTGGGGGCACCACTTTGACCTCCACGGGGCAGGCAGGCAGGCAGGCAGAGAGTGCTACTGCAGTTGGCTGCACTTTTCTTTGCCACCGAAAGCCTTGCGCTTTATTGTGTCACGGGTTCTCGCGCGCAGATGGCTGAAATAAACGCCGACCTGGAACGGGCCACCTCCGTGACACCGTCTCCTCCTCCTCCTCCCCCTCCCCTCCATCGCCAAGTGAAAGTTTATTTATCAAACCGGCAAACGATGAAAAGTCAACTAACTACTTACCCAAAACAATAAAAATGTGCAGTTTTCAATTAAAAAGCGACACTAATTTGCGTACTTAGTGAAAATCGATATGGCGCAGCCTTTGACTTTTGACACTGGCGAGTCAGGTTAGAATTTCTCGCAGTGCCAACACTGCGTATACGTTATATTTCAAACAAAGCAACGGCCAACAGGGCGTATGAGTTATATATATTCTTGAATTTGATTTGAATCCGTAAAGTGGAAAATCATTAACACTTGCAGGTCAGGTCAGCCCTAACCTAATCTTAATGTACCGACACACTAACTCGTCCCCCACTCCGCGATCCCCCTTCCGTGGCTTTTTATTGCTTCTTGCTCTCTCTGTCGTTCGCGTAACATCTCTCGCTCTGGCACAGCGCGCAGGATTCGCGCTCTTTTTTATCGTTTGTGGGCGGTGGGGTGGTGGGTGGTCTTGGGCGGTGTTTAGACGGGTGTCTGTGCGTGTGTGTGTGACTCGGCAAGTCATCTAAAATAACAACAACGCCGCCAATGTTTTCACTTTCCACACAAAAGCCATCTAAGCTTAAATTGTTGAAAAGTTTTCAATCGGTTATTGATGGAGTTTGGTTTCATAAACTTTACATATTTAAAATTTTTAAAAATGTATAAAATTTAAATAAAAATTAAAATTCTTTCCAATTATTTTCCTTACAGTTTCCTAATCTAAAACGCACAAAATCTGCATCAGATCGTAATCTTTCCCAAGACTCCTAATCTCTAAACTATAACCACAAGACGCACAATGAACTTCACTCCGTTTGGCAACACTTTTCCCGGCAACATACCCGGCCTGCCCCAGTTCACGACCAGCACGGCGCCCCTGATCTCTACGGTTACCGCCGCCGTGGCCGATGTCACGGTCACTGCCACCAATAATCCCCAACAGCAGCAGCAGCAGCAAGATGCCGCCGGCAGCAGCAATCGCTACCAGCAACAGCAGCAGCAACAGGTCGCCCACTTCGGCCAGGCCAACATGGCGACCGGATCCGGAAATAATAAGTTTCGTGGCGGCCAGGATGAGGCACTGCAGGGTGACAAGTACAATGGTCATCTGGTGGCTACCGCCCAGCAGCAACAACAGCAGCAACAGCAACAGCAACAGACGCAATATGCAACGGTTGCATATGCCACTGCTGCAACGACGAGTTCTGCCGCGGATGCCATGCAAGCGGGAACTTCCAATCAGCAGCAGCAGCAACAGCAGCAGATGCAACAGCAACAAGTGACGGCGCCTCAGGAGCTCACCCAAGATTTGTGCAACGCCATACTGCAACAACAAGGTGGGTAGTGGTTGGATTTCCATGGTTGGAGACTCTTCTAAGATCTCTTATCCTTTCAGTTCTTCAAAATACCTCGTGGCAGACCCTGACGCCGGGCACCACCGTGGCCGACTACCTCTCGCATCTTCCAGCCAACACTTTACCCCTCTCGTTGCACCACTTCCTCAAATACTCCGCGGAAACGATCAAAAAGGAGAACCAACAGAATGTGGTAAGTAATGATTAAGGATACTCTCCAACCCAGACACTAATCTCCTTCCTCTTAGGTCCTGCAAGTGCAGACGGGACCTGCCATCGGGATCAACACCTTGGGCACCACAACCATTAGTATACCTCAGCAGGAGCAGTTGACGCTGCAGCCCCAACAGCAGGCAACGTTGCAGTTGCAGGCACAGGACACGGTGGCAGCCACCGCCACGGCCACTGCCACGGCGACAGCAGCGGCCACGGGAGCCAGCGGGAGCGGGGGCAAGAAGAAGAAGCGGAAAAAGCGCAGCAAGGACCGGAAACCGAAACTGCGTCCCGGAGAGATACGACTGGGAACGGCGCTGGACGGTAGCCCGCTGTACATGTGCCCCGAATGCCATGTGGCGTACCCGGAGCCGGAACTGCTCGAAGTGCACCTGGTGGGGCACAACCTGGAGAAGCGGTACGTGTGCGACATCTGCCAGGCGTCGCTGAAGCGAAAGGATCACCTGACGCGGCACAAACAGTCGCACAATCCGGACCGGCCCTACATCTGTACCGTCTGCCTGAAGGCCTTCAAGCGGAAGGAGCAGCTCAGCCTGCACTTTGTCATCCACTCGGGCGAGAAGCGGCACCAGTGCGCCGAGTGTGGCAAGGGCTTCTATCGCAAGGATCACCTGCGCAAGCACACCCGCTCCCACATCGCCCGGAGGGTCAAGGCCGAGCTGAATAGTCATGTGAGGCGAGAGAATGGCACCAGTATGTTGCAGCCAGTGGTGACAGAGGCCACCACAGCGGCCTTGCAACATGCCAATCAACTAGCCACCCAGCAACAACAATTGCAACAACAGCAGCAACAGCAACAGCAGCAGCAACAACAACAGCAACATCACATAGTGATAACGCAGCAGACGACGCAGCAGCAGCAGCAGACATCGCAGCAGCAGCAACAAAATCAGCAAATGATAAATTAGCCAAATGATTTTTGTAAAGTCAGTTAAATCAAAATTCAATTTCGAAACAAGGCAGTCAATAATCATAAGAGTTGGCTGTTTATCAAAAACTATCTCGGTCCACACAATTTAATTGACTCTCACAAATCGGATAATAAACCAAAAAAAACCTGGAGGATGTTAGCTAATGTCTTCACGTTGTACAATTTTAATCGTAAGTCCATATGATAATGAAGGGACCTTTTTATAAACTAAACGCACATCAAGGGTAAAAACTACTTAAATTTCTATGATTTTTAACTTTTAGTTCCTATTTCTTTATATATTCTTTAAGATAAACCCCCAACGTGCTCGGTCCCAGGCCATTGTCCGCCATCGCCATTCCATAATCTAATTTAAGAAAAAAAAAAAACAAAAAAAAAATGGAATAATGCAAATGGAATAATTTTATATGCAATGTATTTTTAGTGAAATGTATTTTTGTACAATTAGACTCAATGTTGTATGTCCATATGTACATACGCCTGTACGAATACATGAATACCGTTCACCGTTCACTGGCAGCGAACTATAGTTCTATATAAATATATATTTATATACCATATATAGTATAAAAGAAATGCAATCTATAAATAAAAGATAAAAGAACCACCTTTCATTGTAAATATGCAGTAAAGTACATCATTTGATCTAAAAACAAAGTCATCTGTCGTTTTATTGGGGCTATTTACTTGCTTTATTTAGATTACTCATAAATTACGATTATTATGCACCATTTATTGTATTCAATTAAATAATATTAGCATTATCATTATCATTATCCATTATCGTATATATATATATATGTATATGTCTGGGTGTTAGTTTTTTTTTATATCGATTCTTTGTGTACGAGCCATTGGTTTCAATTACTGCCCATAGCGTACAATAACTAAGCTTAACATAAAGGATGTATTTAAAAATAGAATTAATTTTATATGGGGGGTGGGGGGGATTGTGGAGGGGAAAGAAGGAACGTGGCTTTTTTTTTAGGCTTATCAAAAATTTGTGCTTCTATACACATACAAATCAGAAATCAAAAATCAGAAAATCAAAAATCAAAAATCAGACCATTCACTGTCTTAAGATTCTTCAATGCAGGTCATAATTATACAACGACGAGTCCTAATTATAAAATATATTTTTATAATTAGTTTTTATATATATACATAAATGTATAGAATAGTATGTGAGAGTGTAAATGTGTATTTGCAAAGCAGACGGGTATTGATCCACGATCGGATTAAAGACCAAGTTCTCTCTAAACGCTTCACGTGGCCATTTTCCACTTTTAACATTCAAGATCTTATGTAATTTTTGCGTTGTTTTTTTCTTTTTTAGTTTTTTGTTTTTTTTTTTGGTAAGTTTTGTGTTTCGTTTTCGTTGCGAAAAGAACCTCCTAATCACTGTACACTGTTGGGAAAGTTGCGCCCCGATCACCGCCAGTTTACGGTCCGCAATAATACTTCCGCTTCTGATCCTCCATGAAGTCGCGAGTGGACATTTGGATAGCCTGCTGCAGCATTTCGCTCTCATTAACACCTATTTGGAATATGGTTTGGTTTAAGATAAGAAATTCCATTAAAATTCTTCAACTTTACCATCGTTAGCATAGGAAGCCTCGAGCAGCTCTTGGTAGAAGCTGGAATAGTTTGGTTTGCTGGTCGACTGGGCATCCTCAGGCTTTTGGGGCGAGTTGGAAGACTGCTTCGAGGTGCAGGGGCGCTGCTCGGCCTCCGGGGTCTCGGCACGGGTTGCTGCGGGTACAGTATCACGCTTCGGGCTCTTACGAAGTGGAGATTCATGAGCATCGCCACTGCTAGGGAAAAAATATATTTAAAAATCCTCAAAAGCAATGATTTAATGCACCCACTTCTGTCCAGTCACTGGCAGCTCGCGGGTCTCGTGGCGACGCTTCTTTCGCAAGGCCGTGGTACGACGCTGGGACTTGGAAGTCTTAGCCGAACGCTGGCTAGGCGACGAACTGCCTCCGCAGTGGCCCACCGAACTGGTGCTGCTCATATCAGTGGCATCGCTTTCGTAGCCAGCATTGACCTCCGCCGGAAGTTTGTGGGCGAACTGGCTCAGCGTCTTCGGCGACAAAGAAAATGAGGCTGTCGGGCCATCCCCACCACTGGCACTTGGTAAAGTGGCAGCCGAATTGCCACTGCTGCCCGAGACGGCGCCACACGCGGAATACTTCGAGGGCGAGGCATCGGAGTCGGTGAGTGCCTCGGCTGAGGTCACGGTCGAGGAGGTGGCCGAGCCGGCGGCCGTGTTGTTGCTGCGCGAACGTTGCATGTTGTCGCGGCACCATTGCAGGTAGGACTCGCGAGCAATCTGCTCCTCGATGGCTTCGTTGGTGGCCTCCCAGTCTGTTGTCTTTAGCTTGTCCTCAAACATGGTCTGTAATTGGTTTTCTTTTAGTAAGTAAGTAAGTATCTCTCTCGCAGACAACCCACCTGTTCGATCTCCAGCTGCTCGCTGAGACGCACTGCCTCCTTGGTCTGAAACTCGGGCTTGTAACCAGCCAAGCCGAGACCTACACCAACGGTGGCATTGTATGGATCCAAGATAGCATTGTAGTGAGAGCCACGTTGATAGGATAAACGCAAGGGTGGATAGCCAGCCTGTGACTGCTCCGAGTTGAAAATATTTATTGGATCTGCAAGGGATTTTAAAAATAAGGATTTTCAAGTATAGATACAGATAGATAGCCACTCACTTGACTGATAGCAATAAACTTCAACAGTACGACTGTAAATCTCGGAGATGGCCTGTATTTCGATGTGGTTGCCATGGGCATCGCGAGCACGCTTGCGCTGGATGTAGCTATTGATGTCCTCGGTCACGAATTGTCCAAAGTATTCGCGGTTCTCATGCTGAAGGATAAAGAATCCACATTATAAACCTTACTAGACTACAGATAATCCTTATAATTACAATGTAGTCCATGGTGTGTTGACGAATCACATCATGCATCTCCTCATCTCCATAAATTTGCAAAGAAATGGACCGAAACAGACAGGCACCATCTTCTTCGACCGGCTTCAGCTCGTAGCCGCGCTTCTCCATGCACTTGGCGAACTCCAAGTCGCGACGCTGCCACTCCTCGGCCGGAATCGTACGCTCCTTGGGCTGCAGATGCTCATCGCCACTGTTATAGCCCGAGAAGGTCTCCTCCACGGACTTCAACAGATTAGCAGCTGCCACCGCTGGCGACATTTGACTCTGGGCCTTGGGAACAGACAGATGCTCTGGGGAATTGCGTCCCACCGCCGACGGACTGCTGCTGCCCGAAGTAGAGGCCAGGGGCGGGCTATTGCACTTGCTGCCAGCCACTCCCGGTACACCGCTACCAACTCCACCGGCGGTATGGTTCAGTTTCTCTCGGTCCAGACGATCGCGCTTGTGGTGGTGAGCATGACTGTCGTGGTGGTCGCGACGCTTCGAACGGGTGCTGGTAAGACATGGTGACATTTTTTTAAATTTCTATATCAATTTTGATAAATTTAGGAAATCATTAAAAGTTCCATCAAAATGTCCATTTTTGGGATTTGAATTTTGGAACAAGAGCTACTAGGTGACTATTATTGTTTATCAATATTACAGCCAAAAATATAAGGCTTTTTGTTTACCCAACTCTTCAAATGACCTGCGTTATTAGAGATTCAATTCTAAAGCACTTGTCTAAATATTTGTTTTCTAAAAAAAAGGCGTATAAAACCCCAAAACACGTAATTAATATTTTAGTCTGCTTTTTAGTCAAACATGAAGTCGGTGGTTCTAATTTTTGCTCTTTCGTTGGCCTTTTTGGCAATCACTTTTGCCAACGCCGCTTCCTACACTGCCACCACGGAGGCTTCGTTTACAACCACAACCGAATCCCCGCCAGCTTCAGAATGGAAATGGGCCGACATTATCAACTTTCTACGCAGCAGCAAGAGTGATGGAAAGAAATTGTACTTTTTCTTCTAAATTATAATGATGTTTCTGCATATTTTTTATAATCTATAACTATTCTCTAAATAAGAGATGTTTTTTCTTCTAAAAATAAATAAAGAATAATTATGCAAGAACTAGTTCAAAACACTTGGTGCCCCTCCTAAAAGCCAAGTGGCATGTAAGAATGCGTCAAGAACCTAGAAGCGATTAAGTTTCTAACATGCAGCTGCCACAGGAATTGGAGCCTCTGGGGGGAGGGCTCCAAGCCCCCAATCTTTGGGGGTAAAACTCACCTCTTGTGGGGACTGCAGCGATGGGTGCGTGCCAGCTCGTCATAGACTTCGCCACGCCTCTGGGGGCTCTAAATCCCATTGAGGGGAAACAAGGTGCCAATTAAATAAGGGGGTAACTGAAAGGGCCATCGCCTGCTCACCTGTCCGTGACCATCGATGACGACGTTGCGGTGCGTCTGACTGACCACCGACTGCTCTACAGTGGATACCTGGGCCTCCTTGTTGTCGGGATCGACATTGGCTGGGACACGCTTGGCGCTGGGTGGTGCGCTTACTGGCTTGATTGTCATGGTGGCGCTGCTGCCTCCGATGGTATTTCTCTTGTTAAGGTGGTTGTGTTGTTGTGTTTGTTGCTGCAGCAGCCCTTGTTGTTATTGTTATTTAAGGGGAAAAAAAATGAAAGAAATGCAAATGCTTGGCTCAGCAACACTTTCCCCCACTAAGTGTGGCGCTTTTGACCCACTCCGACTATTTTCGATTGCTCTTCCTCAGACAACGAATTGATTTGCGTTTTTCACTAACTTGGAATGGAATCGAGAAATTATGGGAGCCCTGTGTTTTTGTGTTCTTCTTTGTCCGTCAATAGGGGCTCCTTTCACCCACTTGGCGATGATTTCACAATTTGCAGCTAACTTTCGAGTCTTGCCGCTCGCTCTGTTTCGTTTGTCGTTTCTGAAACTTGCTTCAAATCTCACCAACTACTTGGTTTTTAACAAATTAAATAAAATTTCCAGATTTTCATCTGTTCTGTTTTGTGCTTGTATGCATGTGTGTGCGATGACATATTGTCGCGCTTTCCAGCACTTGACAAAATACTAAAAGGAACTATAATTTGGTATTATTGCTGATACCATCTGATTGGTTGTAGTTATAGAAACTATCGATAGGTGGCGGTATTAAAAGCGCGGGTATTTTAAAATTTGGAATCTTTGTTGTAGGAATTGTGACCCATTTTTCGTAATGAAAGAGCTCTAAGTAATAAAGTTATGTGTTTTTTTTATATAAAGTGGTATCTAATTATAACCTTCTTGGAATATTTGACGTAGACAAAACACATACAAATATAGACAATCCACAGACAGCTGAACCTACATAGAAACGTGCGAATTAACAGATACTTTTGCATCTATACCTTAACAATTTTATAAAGTACTCTTCTTTTTGGGTAATTTAAGGATTTTAGTTGTTCTATAAACAAGGTTCAAGAAATATATTATGTCTAGCATATATACATTATTGTTATTTGTAAGATATTCAAAAGGAAGCGGCTCCAAACAGTTTCATTATTTAAAAAATTAACTAAAATATCCATCTAAGATTTGGCAAATAACTAGTTTTTTCATTGTATTTTAAGTAACCAGTTCCTTGGCATTTCCCGAATACTTCTCATTGAACTTGAAACCTTAACTTTATCAAAGAGCTCCCCATATCCAAACATTGTTTGAATTTCTTTGCGGTTGCTGACTTTTCCTTTATTAGAGAAACCATTCAGAAACACCTGTACAAATGGTTAACGCAGCAGAATATTTATTTGTTTGCAAAATGAAATGTATAAATACGCTAGAACGTAATTGGCTTTTTAGTCGGCATTTCAAGGAAACATGAAACCGGAGGTTTTGATATTTTTTATTTCTTTGGCATTGACTGCCTTTGCAGTTTCTAATGCTCAATACAACGATTATGGGAGCGAATATGGGTACGATTATGGGTATCCCTCTTCATCCGAGGCTCCTTGTTTGGAAGAGCAATGGTCCTGGAAGGGTCTTCTGAAGTCTTTGCGAAGCAAGCAGAATAAGTTTTACTTCTTCTCTTAAATTTTTGATTTTATGGCGGAACTCGATCTTTTGAAATCTGGTGTTTGAGTAATTAATAAAAAGTGTAATGATTGCATAAATGATCTGATACTTTACCATCTAATAGATGAATATATGCCAAAAAAAAAACAACGAGTTTATAATATTCAAATGCATATATTTTACAATCGTTCAAACTCAAATCCCCATCATTGCGGGCTCAACCCTCAATCCAATGGACCAGTTCTAATAACGATTGTTCCAGCCACCCCAACTGGTTCTATAGGGACTCCATCTATATCTCCAATTGGGCCTGGCACCCACGCCCACCCAACGGTTGCCCCATCCCCAGTAGGGATACTGTCCATTCACGGATCCTCCTTCCACGGCACCTCCCTCGCCGGAGCCAGCCGACACTCCAATATTCTGTCCGTTTTCGATTGCGGCAGCACCGTCTGATATTTCACTGTCACCGGCGGACCTACCTGTCCAGGATTGTGTGTCCTGCGACTGCTCGTCCTGGCTGTTCTGGTCTTGGCCAAAGCGGATTTGGATGCCTGATGGGCCCTGAGAGCCGTCACTGGAGAATGCTGATCGCTGGGACCATGACTGAGAGCCATCAGATCCACCGGGACCTACAATAGACAAACTACCGCTAGCCTCACCACCTTCCAAGGACCCTGATGCGGATCCCTTGATCAGCTTCGACCAGGAACTAGATGAGTCTGCTCCATTTATGCCCCTATCGCCACCACTATTTGTGGTGATTGTGGATGTCGTCCGCTTGGTCCAAGAGTTCCTGGAGCCAGGGTTAGATGAGCTGGAACTGGAGTATGTGGTTTCCGTTTTGGGAGCCGAGGAAAAGCTCGAGGTAACAGTTGTAGTTGTTGTAGTGGAGCTGGAACTAGATTTTCCATTTGATTTCGGGACGACTGAAGCATCCGTAGAGTATGTTTTTGTGGTTTTCGTTGTCGTTGAGCTTGATTTTCCACCTTTGGATGGGGAACTGGAACTATTACTTCCACCTGTCGTGCTTGTCGTTGTCGTTCTCTTAGAAGACTTGACGGTTTTTCCATTACTCTCGGAGGCACTCAGAGTTTCTTTAACAATAGGATCGGACAAAATGGATGATTGTCCTTCAGAGGAGGTCGTGCTTGTCGTTGTTGTCGAAGTTGAGGACGATTTTCCAGAGCTTCCATTGTCAGTTGAAGAGCTACCCTGAGTTACTTCAACAACAGGATCAGATGAAACCGTGGTCTGACCATCATTCGAAGTTGTTATGGTCGTTGTGGATTCACTGGTCGAAGGGATGGCGCTTCCGTTTGAGCTGGAAGTGTACGTCTTTGTGGTTTTTGTGGTGGTCGTTGTCGATTTTCCCCCTTTGGTTGAAGAATTCAATTTGCTTCCCTTAGTGGTCGAGCTTGAAGAACTTCCATCATCAGTTGAAGAGGTACCCTGAGATACTTCAACAACAGGATCAGAAGAAACCGTGGTCTGACCATCATTAGAAGTGGTTATGGTCGTTGTCGTTTGACTAGAAGGAACAGAGCTTCCGTTCGAGGTGGAAGTGTACGTCTTTGTGGTTTTTGTGGTGGTTGTCGTCGACTTTCCCCCTTTGGTTGAAGAATTCGATTTGCTTCCCTTAGTGGTCGAGCTTGAAGAACTTCCATCATCAGTTGAAGAGGAACCCTGAGTTACTTCAACAACAGGATCAGAAGAAACCGTGGTCTGACCATCATTAGAAGTGGTTATGGTCGTTGTCGTTTGACTAGAAGGAACAGAGCTTCCGTTCGAGGTGGAAGTGTACGTCTTTGTGGTTTTTGTGGTGGTTGTCGTCGACTTTCCTCCTTTGGTTGAAGAATTCGATTTGCTTCCCTTAGTGGTCGAGCTTGAAGAACCACCATCAACAGTTGAAGAGGTTGTTTCTTCAACTGGATCAGAAGAAACCGTGGTCTGACCATCATTAGAAGTGGTTATGGTCGTTGTCGTTTGACTAGAAGGAACAGAGCTTCCGTTCGAGGTGGAAGTGTACGTCTTTGTGGTTTTTGTGGTGGTTGTCGTCGACTTTCCTCCTTTGGTTGAAGAATTCGATTTGCTTCCCTTAGTGGTCGAGCTTGAAGAACCACCATCAACAGTTGAAGAGGTACCCTGAGTTACTTCAACAACTGGATCAGCAGAAACCGTGGTCTGACCATCATTCGAAGTTGTTATGGTCGTTGTAGTTTGGCTAGAAGAAGGGACGGAGCTTCCGTTCGAGGTGGAAGTGTACGTCTTTGTGGTTTTTGTGGTGGTTGTCGTCGACTTTCCTCCTTTGGTTGAAGAATTCGATTTGCTTCCCTTAGTGGTCGAGCTTGAAGAACTTCCATCATCAGTTGAAGAGGAACCCTGAGTTACTTCAACAACAGGATCAGAAGAAACCGTGGTCTGACCATCATTAGAAGTGGTTATGGTCGTTGTCGTTTGACTAGAAGGAACAGAGCTTCCGTTCGAGGTGGAAGTGTACGTCTTTGTGGTTTTTGTGGTGGTTGTCGTCGACTTTCCTCCTTTGGTTGAAGAATTCGATTTGCTTCCCTTAGTGGTCGAGCTTGAAGAACTTCCATCATCAGTTGAAGAGGAACCCTGAGTTACTTCAACAACAGGATCAGAAGAAACCGTGGTCTGACCATCATTAGAAGTGGTTATGGTCGTTGTCGTTTGACTAGAAGGAACAGAGCTTCCGTTCGAGGTGGAAGTGTACGTCTTTGTGGTTTTTGTGGTGGTTGTCGTCGACTTTCCTCCTTTGGTTGAAGAATTCGATTTGCTTCCCTTAGTGGTCGAGCTTGAAGAACTTCCATCATCAGTTGAAGAGGAACCCTGAGTTACTTCAACAACAGGATCAGAAGAAACCGTGGTCTGACCATCATTAGAAGTGGTTATGGTCGTTGTCGTTTGACTAGAAGGAACAGAGCTTCCGTTCGAGGTGGAAGTGTACGTCTTTGTGGTTTTTGTGGTGGTTGTCGTCGACTTTCCTCCTTTGGTTGAAGAATTCGATTTGCTTCCCTTAGTGGTCGAGCTTGAAGAACTTCCATCATCAGTTGAAGAGGAACCCTGAGTTACTTCAACAACAGGATCAGAAGAAACCGTGGTCTGACCATCATTAGAAGTGGTTATGGTCGTTGTCGTTTGACTAGAAGGAACAGAGCTTCCGTTCGAGGTGGAAGTGTACGTCTTTGTGGTTTTTGTGGTGGTTGTCGTCGACTTTCCTCCTTTGGTTGAAGAATTCGATTTGCTTCCCTTAGTGGTCGAGCTTGAAGAACCACCATCAACAGTTGAAGAGGTACCCTGAGTTACTTCAACAACTGGATCAGCAGAAACCGTGGTCTGACCATCATTCGAAGTTGTTATGGTCGTTGTAGTTTGGCTAGAAGAAGGGACGGAGCTTCCGTTCGAGGTGGAAGTGTACGTCTTTGTGGTTTTTGTGGTGGTTGTCGTCGACTTTCCTCCTTTGGTTGAAGAATTCGATTTGCTTCCCTTAGTGGTCTTGCTTGTACTTGTTGTTTTCGAAGACTTCACTTTTTTGGAACTTTTCTTAGAGCCCCCCACAGTTACCTTAGAAACAGGTTCGACTTCGTCAGAAGAAGATGAGGTTGTGGTTGTAGTGGAAGTTGACGTCGTTTTTCCCGAGCTTCCATTGGCAGTTGAAGAGCTACCCTGGGTTACCGCAACAGCGGATTCAGAAGAGGTAGTTGATTGTCCTTCATCCGAAGCAGTTGTGGTTGTTGTTGTGGTGGTGGATGACTCGGTAGAGTTGCCATTTCCATCAGAGGAGGTGCCCGAGGATACTTCAACAACGGGATCAGAAGAGGTAGTTGATTGTCCTTCATCCGAAGCAGTTGTGGTTGTTGTTGTGGTGGTGGATGACTCGGTAGAGTTGCCATTTCCATCAGAGGAGGTGCCCGAGGATACTTCAACAACGGGATCAGAAGAGGTAGTTGATTGTCCTTCATCCGAAGCAGTTGTGGTTGTTGTTGTGGTGGTGGATGACTCGGTAGAGTTGCCATTTCCATCAGAGGAGGTGCCCGAGGATACTTCAACAACGGGATCAGAAGAGGTAGTTGATTGTCCTTCATCCGAAGCAGTTGTGGTTGTTGTTGTGGTGGTGGATGACTGGGTAGAGTTGCCATTTTCATCAAAGGAGGTTCCCGAAGTCACCTCAACAACGGGATCAGAAGAGGTAGTTGATTGTCCTTCATCCGAAGCAGTTGTGGTTGTTGTTGTGGTGGTGGATGACTGGCTGGAGTTGCCATTTCCATCGTAGGAGCTGCCCGAAGTCACCTCAACAACGGAATCAGAAGAGGTAGTTGATTGTCCCTCATCCGAAGCAGTTGTGGTTGTTGTTGTGGTGGTGGATGACTGGGTAGAGTTGCCATTTCCATCAGAGGAGGTGCCCGAAGTCACCTCAACAACGGGATCAGAAGAGGTAGTTGATTGTCCTTCATCCGAAGCAGTTGTGGTTGTTATTGTGGTGGTGGATGACTTACTGGAGTTGCCATTTCCATCGGAGGAGGTGCCCGAGGATACTTCAACAACGGGATCAGAAGAGGTAGTTGATTGTCCCTCATCCGAAGCAGTTGTGGTTGTTGTTGTAGTGGTGGATGACTGGCTGGAGTTGCCATTTCCATCGGAGGAGGTGCCCGAGGATACTTCAACAACGGGATCAGAAGAGGTAGTTGATTGTCCCTCATCCGAAGCAGTTGTGGTTGTTGTTGTGGTGGTGGATGACTGGGTAGAGTTGCCATTTCCATCGGAGGAGGTGCCCGAGGATACTTCAACAACGGGATCAGAAGAGGTAGTTGATTTTCCTTCATCCGAAGCAGTTGTGGTTGTTGTTGTGGTGGTGGATGACTGGCTGGAGCTGCCATTTCCATCAGAGGAGGTGCCCGAGGATACTTCAACAACGGGATCAGAAGAGGTAGTTGATTTTCCTTCATCCGAAGCAGTTGTGGTTGTTGTTGTGGTGGTGGATGACTGGGTAGAGTTGCCATTTCCATCAGAGGAGGTGCCCGAAGTCACCTCAACAACGGGATCAGAAGAGGTAGTTGATTGTCCCTCATCCGAAGCAGTTGTGGTTGTTGTTGTGGTGGTGGATGACTGGCTGGAGTTGCCATTTCCATCGGAGGAGGTGCCCGAGGATACTTCAACAACGGGATCAGAAGAGGTAGTTGATTGTCCTTCATCCGAAGCAGTTGTGGTTGTTGTTGTAGTGGTGGATGACTGGCTGGAGCTGCCATTTCCATCGGAGGAGCTGCCCGAAGTCACCTCAACATCGGGATCAGAAGAGGTAGTTGATTGTCCTTCATCCGAAGCAGTTGTGGTTGTTGTTGTGGTGGTGGATGACTTACTGGAGTTGCCATTTCCATCGGAGGAGGTGCCCGAGGATACTTCAACAACGGGATCAGAAGAGGTAGTTGATTGTCCTTCATCCGAAGCAGTTGTGGTTGTTGTTGTGGTGGTGGATGACTGGCTGGAGTTGCCATTTCCATCGTAGGAGCTGCCCGAAGTCACCTCAACAACGGAATCAGAAGAGGTAGTTGATTGTCCCTCATCCGAAGCAGTTGTGGTTGTTGTTGTGGTGGTGGATGACTGGGTAGAGTTGCCATTTCCATCAGAGGAGGTGCCCGAAGTCACCTCAACAACGGGATCAGAAGAGGTAGTTGATTGTCCTTCATCCGAAGCAGTTGTGGTTGTTGTTGTGGTGGTGGATGACTTACTGGAGTTGCCATTTCCATCGGAGGAGGTGCCCGAGGATACTTCAACAACGGGATCAGAAGAGGTAGTTGATTGTCCTTCATCCGAAGCAGTTGTGGTTGTTGTTGTGGTGGTGGATGACTGGCTGGAGCTGCCATTTCCATCGGAGGAGGTGCCCGAAGTCACCTCAACATCGGGATCAGAAGAGGTAGTTGATTGTCCTTCATCCGAAGCAGTTGTGGTTGTTGTTGTGGTGGTGGATGACTTACTGGAGCTGCCATTTCCATCGGAGGAGCTGCCCGAAGTCACCTCAACATCGGGATCAGAAGAGGTAGTTGATTGTCCTTCATCCGAAGCAGTTGTGGTTGTTGTTGTGGTGGTGGATGACTTACTGGAGCTGCCATTTCCATCGGAGGAGCTGCCCGAAGTCACCTCAACATCGGGATCAGAAGAGGTAGTTGATTGTCCTTCATCCGAAGCAGTTGTGGTTGTTGTTGTGGTGGTGGATGACTGGGTAGAGTTGCCATTTCCATCAGAGGAGGTGCCCGAAGTCACCTCAACAACGGGATCAGAAGAGGTAGTTGATTGTCCTTCATCCGAAGCAGTTGTGGTTGTTGTTGTGGTGGTGGATGACTGGGTAGAGTTGCCATTTCCATCAGAGGAGGTGCCCGAAGTCACCTCAACAACGGGATCAGAAGAGGTAGTTGATTGTCCCTCATCCGAAGCAGTTGTGGTTGTTGTTGTGGTGGTGGATGACTGGCTGGAGTTGCCATTTCCATCGGAGGAGGTGCCCGAGGATACTTCAACTACGGGATCAGAAGAGGTAGTTGATTGTCCCTCATCCGAAGCAGTTGTGGTTGTTGTTGTAGTGGTGGATGACTGGCTGGAGCTGCCATTTCCATCGGAGGAGCTGCCCGAAGTCACCTCAACATCGGGATCAGAAGAGGTAGTTGATTGTCCTTCATCCGAAGCAGTTGTGGTTGTTGTTGTGGTGGTGGATGACTTACTGGAGTTGCCATTTCCATCGGAGGAGGTGCCCGAGGATACTTCAACAACGGGATCAGAAGAGGTAGTTGATTGTCCTTCATCCGAAGCAGTTGTGGTTGTTGTTGTGGTGGTGGATGACTGGGTAGAGTTGCCATTTCCATCAGAGCAGGTGCCCGAAGTCACCTCAACAACGGGATCAGAAGAGGTAGTTGATTGTCCCTCATCCGAAGCAGTTGTGGTTGTTGTTGTGGTGGTGGATGACTGGCTGGAGTTGCCATTTCCATCGAAGGAGGTGCCCGAAGTCACCTCAACAACGGGATCAGAAGAGGTAGTTGATTGTCCTTCATCCGAAGCAGTTGTGGTTGTTGTTGTGGTGGTGGATGACTTACTGGAGTTGCCATTTCCATCGGAGGAGGTGCCCGAGGATACTTCAACAACGGGATCAGAAGAGGTAGTTGATTGTCCTTCATCCGAAGCAGTTGTGGTTGTTGTTGTGGTGGTGGATGACTGGCTGGAGCTGCCATTTCCATCGGAGGAGCTGCCCGAAGTCACCTCAACATCGGGATCAGAAGAGGTAGTTGATTGTCCTTCATCCGAAGCAGTTGTGGTTGTTGTTGTGGTGGTGGATGACTGGGTAGAGTTGCCATTTCCATCAGAGGAGGTGCCCGAAGTCACCTCAACAACGGGATCAGAAGAGGTAGTTGATTGTCCTTCATCCGAAGCAGTTGTGGTTGTTGTTGTGGTGGTGGATGACTGGGTAGAGTTGCCATTTCCATCAGAGGAGGTGCCCGAAGTCACCTCAACAACGGGATCAGAAGAGGTAGTTGATTGTCCCTCATCCGAAGCAGTTGTGGTTGTTGTTGTGGTGGTGGATGACTGGCTGGAGTTGCCATTTCCATCGGAGGAGGTGCCCGAGGATACTTCAACTACGGGATCAGAAGAGGTAGTTGATTGTCCCTCATCCGAAGCAGTTGTGGTTGTTGTTGTAGTGGTGGATGACTGGCTGGAGCTGCCATTTCCATCGGAGGAGCTGCCCGAAGTCACCTCAACATCGGGATCAGAAGAGGTAGTTGATTGTCCTTCATCCGAAGCAGTTGTGGTTGTTGTTGTGGTGGTGGATGACTTACTGGAGTTGCCATTTCCATCGGAGGAGGTGCCCGAGGATACTTCAACAACGGGATCAGAAGAGGTAGTTGATTGTCCTTCATCCGAAGCAGTTGTGGTTGTTGTTGTGGTGGTGGATGACTGGGTAGAGTTGCCATTTCCATCAGAGGAGGTGCCCGAAGTCACCTCAACAACGGGATCAGAAGAGGTAGTTGATTGTCCCTCATCCGAAGCAGTTGTGGTTGTTGTTGTGGTGGTGGATGACTGGCTGGAGTTGCCATTTCCATCAGAGGAGGTGCCCGAGGATACTTCAACATCGGGATCAGAAGAGGTAGTTGATTGTCCTTCATCCGAAGCAGTTGTGGTTGTTGTTGTGGTGGTGGATGACTGGCTGGAGCTGCCATTTCCATCGGAGGAGCTGCCCGAAGTCACCTCAACAACGGGATCAGAAGAGGTAGTTGATTGTCCCTCATCCGAAGCAGTTGTGGTTGTAGTTGTGGTGGTGGATGACTGGGTAGAGCTTCCATTTCCATGTGAGGAGCCTTCTTGAGATTCTTCAACAAAGGGATCAGAAGAGGTTGTGGATTGTTCTTCGTCTGTAGAGGTTTTCGTGGATGTCTGACTGGGCAGACCATCGTTTAGTATTTCGGGGCCTTCCGAAGTAGTAGAAGGACTGTTATGGTTATCCAGTTGATCGAAGATAGTCGAGCTCTCGTCGGTTAGCTGAGCCTGATTTTTTCCGTTTGCACAGTTCACATAGTTGGGATTTCCTAGCAGTTCGCCGTCATGCAAGAGAATCAGTTTTCCAAAAAGCCTGTCGAGCAGCCACAGGCGGATATCCTTTCTTATTTCTATTAGAGTTTGTCTAACACTTTCACAACACGGGCTGGACTGGGGCTTATCCTGGGTAGCCACTGCCGTAACCGTTGAAGATTGAGATTGGGCCGCTCCGAGAGCCAAGATACCGGCCAAAACCGCGACGAAATAGACACGCATGATCCTCTATGAGCCGGATCACGTAGATCTGTTGCCTAAATATGAAATTTTGGACGCTTTTATACCCGGGCATCGGTGGTTGTTATTTTTTTGGGCTGTTTGCGTAGATGCTTTTGTGTGGCTTGCCAATTTTGATTGTTTAAAACATTTGGTACTTCAATTGTTGCCCCGAAAAAGACAAAAGGTAAGTAAACTGTCTGAACTATACTATGTATATATGAAAACAAACAACTCTTTTCCATTTCTATTTAAGAAACAACTGTGCAAAATATTTGCTCCTAGCTCGGATTAAACACTTGTTAGATACACAGACTTTACGTAAATCGGGAGCTCGTGGCAGAGTTATCATATACATACGTCAGTGGTGCATTAGCCGAATTTTGACACGAGTCCCAATTGTGGAGAATGAAACAATATAAATTCCATGTTTTTGGTTTATTCTTGTTTGTTTGTTGGTCAATAATTTTCATCAACTTTAATGTTTGAGTGCATATTATTTAATTTTTTATGTATGATTGTGGTTTGGTGGCAAGTCTGACTCGGAAGCTCTACTCTCGGTTATTACCCAAAATTATTGCGAAAATTACCAAACTAGTGATAACGTTGCCCCTAAGTTTTGGTTGTGGGTAAAAATAAAATTACAAGATTTTTTATTATTTTCTATTTATATATTTTTCGACAAAAACAACAATTTATTTATTATTGCAAAGATAAATTACGAAACAAAAAGAAAAAAACCCAAAATTGATAATAAGAAAAGATTGCCTAAAGGAATTAATTAAGTTAAGTCGTTATCCAATAATGGTTTTTAATTTGATAATTTTATAATAATTTGATAGTCTGTAATTAAAGTCTTTGCGTATTTGATTCTGCACATCCATTGGGGTCCTACATCTAGAGAATTCACCAATTCCTCCGGCAGATAGTATACGATTGGCAGAAGTAACACAATTATATCTATCACAATCCCCAAATAACCTATATCCTGGGCACGAATTGTAAAACTTCCCTATTTCGGCAATCATGTTGTCGTATTGACTTTTAGAAACATTATATTCAAGCTTATCGGAATAACCTCTGTCCTTCATTTCCAAGGCTGTGGACCGGCCGCAACGGCTGCCAGATGAAAAGCTAAAAGTATTTTTCCTATTTCCATTTGCAATTACCAGCCACGTGTGTATAAAACCCTGGCCATCCGTAAGGCGATTGTCATTGTAAACAGTCACTTTATAACCGCCGGATCGTTTGCTTCGTACAGAATTTATCTAAAATATTATTTGGGTCAAAGGAAACTTAACTCGAATAAATTATCCTAACAAAAATATTACCTGATTAGTTGGGGTCGCTCTTAATTCTGCAACGCTAGTTAATAATATTAAACAAGCAATTTTTGAAATCATTTTTATATTGAAATGAAATACACTCTAGAGATCGACGAAAAATAATAATCAAAAGTCGCAGATATCTGTGTATTTATACAATTTTTGTCGTCTGTTATCCCGAGCTTGCAAACTGTCGAAGGTTTTTCATTGTCTGCAAATAAGTGTCTCTCTTTGACTTTCTAAGACTAGGAGGATTAATAGAGATCGTGAATTGAGTGTTAAATTAATACAATAGTTCAATTAACAATAGTTCAACAAAGGCAATGTTCTTGACAATTGCAGATTTTTTTTCCTAGAAACGACGAACGTCTTGAATAAAATTACTATTTTAAATGAAGTAAGTTTTTGTCAAGTCCTCAAGTTTTTAGTGAGGAAAGTCGCTTCTGGGTTCGCTGATTGCAAAATGGTACTTTATTTCCCGATCGGATGCAAATTGGCAGAGCTTTGGTCATCGGAGGGGGCAAAAGTGGGGACATCGTAAAAACCCACAATTTTATAGGGCAAAAAAAATTCGAAAAATTTAAATACTATATTAAAGCAATGTTTTGAATGAAAAAAGTCGCTTCTAGGTTCGCTGATTGCAAAATGGTACTTTATATCCCGATCGGATGCAAATTGGCAGAGCTATGGCCATCGGAAGGGTCAAAAGTGGGGATATTGGAAAAACCCACAATTTTATAGGGGACCCCATGGAAAAAAATTCGAAAAATTCAAAAGCTATATTTTAGGAATGTTTTGGAATGAGGAAAGTCGCTTTTGGGTTCGCTGATTACTGAATGGTACTTTATATCCCGATCGGATACAAATTGCCAGAGCCATGGCCATCGGAAGGGGCAAAAGTGGGGAAATCGGAAAACCCACAATTTTATAGGGGAGCCCCTTGGAAAAAATTCGAAAATTTTGAAAAAGATATTTAAGCAATGTTTTGAATGAGAAAAGTCGCTTCTGAGTTCGCTGGTTACTGAATGGTACTTTGTTTCCTGATGGCTGTCAGAAGGGGCAAAAGTGGAGAAATTAGAAAAAACTTTACGTAAATCGGGAGCTCGTGGCAGAGTTATACGTCAGTGGTGCATTAGCCGAATTTTGACACGAGTCCCAATTGTGGAGAATGAAACAATATAAATTCCATGTTGTTGGTTTATTCTTGTTTGTTTGTTTCATAATTTTCATCTACTTTAATGTTTGAGAGCATATTAACATAGTTTATTTTTATACCCTTGCAGAGGGTATTATAATTTTGGTCAAAAGTGTGCAACGCAGTGAAGGAGACATCTCCGACCCTATAAAGTATATATATTCTTGATCAGGATCACCTCCTGAGTTGATATGAGCATGTCCGTCTGTCCGTCTGTCCGTCTGTCCGTCTGTCTGTCTGTCTGTCCGTTTCTACGCGAACTAGTCTCTCAGTTTTGAAGCTATCGTCTTGAAACTTTGCACACACCCTTCTTTCCTTTGCACGCAGTATATAAGTCGGAACGGCCCGGATGGGCCGACTATATCCTATAGCTGCCATATAACTGATTGATCGGAAATGGTATAAGTTTGGTGTTTTTAGAGTTAGAGAGTTCAAATTTTACATGAGCGCTATTTTTGGCAAAATAATACGACATCCTATAGCTGCCATATAACTGAACGATCGGAAATGACCCAACTTTCGTTTTTTTGAAGATAGAAAGTTGAAACTTAGTACAGATTCTATTTTTGGTCAGTTGATCCGACCCACCAAATTTCATAAGGATCGGCCGACTATATCCTATAGCTGCCATGTAACTGAACGATCGGAAATGGGTTTTGGTAGAAATACCAACTTTCGTATTTTTGAAGATAGAAGTTTGGGACTTTTTTTAGATTTTGTATTATAATTAATTGGGTTATGTTATCATATTCTTATAAGGATCGGCCAACTATATCCGATGTTAGCGATATATATCCGGTTTTAACTGCACGGGTATATTGGTTGTGGGTAAACATAAAATTACAAGATTTTTTATTATTTTCTATTTATATATTTTTCGACAAAAACAACAATTTATTTGATAATTGATAATAAGAAAAGATTGGCTAAAGGAATTAGTTAAGTTAAGTCGTTATCCAATAATAGTTAGTAGTGATAGTAACAATAATAGTAAGCCCAATAATTTGATAGTCTGTAATTAAAGTCTTTGCGTATTTGATTCTGCACGTCCATTGGGGTCTTACATCCAGAGAAATCCTCGATTCCTCCGGCAGATAATATACGATTGGCAGAAGAAACACAATTATATTTTCCAAGATCCCCTAATAGCCTATATCCTGGGCACGAATTGTAAAACTTCCCTATTTCGGCAATCATTTTGTCGTATTGACTTTTAGAAACTTTAAATTCCTTCCTGTCGGAATATCTTCTATTCTTCATTTCCAAGGCTGTGGACCGGCCGCAAAGGCTGCCAGATGAAAAGCTAAAAGTATTTTTCCTATTTCCATTTGCAATTACCAGCCACGTGTGTACAAAACCCTGGCCATCCATAAGGCGATTGTCATTGTAAACAGTCACTTTATAACCGCCGGATTGTTTGCTTCGTACAGAATTTGTCTAAAATATTATTTGGGTCTAAAGAAAATTAACTCGAATAAATTATCCTAACAAAAATATTACCTGGTTAGTCGGAGTCGCTCTAAATTCTGCAACGCTAGTTAATAACATTAAACAAGCAATTTTTAAAATCATTTTTATATTGAAATGAATTGAAATGATACACTCTAGAGATCGACGAAAAATAATAATCAAAAGTCGCAGATATCTGTGTATTTATACAATTTTTGTCGTCTGTTATCCCGAGCTTGCAAACTGTCGAAGGTTTTTCATTGTCTGCAAATAAGAGTCTCTCTTTGACTTTCTAAGACTAGGAGGATTAATAGAGATCGTGAATTGAGTGTTAAATTAATACAATAGTTCAATTAACAATAGTTCAACAAAGGCAAGGTTCTTGACAATTGGAGATTTTTTTTCCTAGAAACGACGAACGTCTTGAATAAAATTACTATTTTAAATGAAGTAAGTTTTTGTCAAGTCCTCAAGTTTTCAGTGAGGAAAGTCGCTTCTGGGTTCGCTGATTGCAAAATGGTACTTTATTTCCCGATCAGATACAAATTAGCAGAGCTTTGGTCATCGGAGCGGGCAAAAGTGGGGACATCGTAAAAACCCACAATTTTATAGGGGACCCCATGGAAAAAAATTCGAAAAATTCAAAAGCTATATTTTAGGAATGTTTTTGAATGAGGAAAGTCGCTTCTAGGTTCGCTGATTGCAAAATGGTACTTTATATCCCGATCGGATACAAATTACCAGAGCCATGGCCATCGGAAGGGGCAAAAGTGGGGAAATCAGAAAACCCACAATTGTATAGGGGAGCCCCTTGGAAAAAATTCGAAACTTTTGAAAACGATGTTTAAGCAATGTTTTGAATGAGAAAAGTCGCTTCTGAGTTCGCTGGTTACTGAATGGTACTTTGTTTCCTGATGGCTGTCAGAAGGGGCAAAAGTGGAAAAATTAGAAAAAACTTTACGTAAATCGGGAGCTCGTGGCAGAGTTATACGTCAGTGGTGCATTAGCCGAATTTTGACACGAGTCCCAATTGTGGAGAATGAAACAATATAAATTCCATGTTTTTGGTTTATTCTTGTTTGTTTGTTGGTCAATAATTTTCATCTACGTTAATGTTTGAGTGTACATATATTATGTTCATGTTTCATGTAGGATTGTGGTTTGGTGGCAAGTCTGACTCGAAAGCTGGATTTTTACCCAAAAAATATAACGAAAATTACACAAATCGTGATTAAGTTATATATATGGCTTCCATGTTTTATTAATTTTTAATTATATATTTTTCTACAAACAACAACAATTTATTTATTACCGCAAAAAGAAATCACGAAACAAAAAGAAGGAAAACCAAAATTGAAAGTTAGTAAAGATAGGCTAAAGGAAATTATAAAGTGATTTTTAATTCGTTATCCAATAATAGTTTGGAGCCCAATGTCTTTCAGCTCTGTAGTTGAAGTCTTTGCGTATTTGATTCTGCACGTCCATTGGGGTCTTACATCCAGAGAAATCCCCGATTCCTCCGGCAGATAATATACGATTGGCAGAAGAAACACAATTATATTTTCCAAGATCCCCTAAAAGCCTATATCCTGGGCACGAATCGTAAAACTTCTCGATTTCGGTAATCATGTTGTCGTATTGACTTTTAGAAACATTATATTCAAGCTTATCGGAATAACCTCTGTCCCCCATTTCGGAGGCTGAAGAACGGCCGCAACGGCCGCCAGATGAAAAGCTAAATGTAGTTTTCCTATTTCCATTTTCAATTACCAGCCACGTGTGTACAAAACCCTGACCATCCGAAATGCGATTGTCATTGTAAATAGTCACTTTATAACCGCCGGATCGTTTGCTTCGTACAGAATTTATCTAAAATATTATTTGGGTCAAAAGAAAATGAACTCGAAAATATTATCCTAATGAAAATATTACCTGATTAGTCGGAGTCGCTCTAAATTCTGCAACGCTGGCCAATAATATTAAACACGAAATTTTTGCAATCATTTTTGTATTGAAATGAAATACACCGTAGAGAGCAACGAAAAATAATAATCAAAAGTCGAACATATCTGTGTATTTATACAATTTTTGTCGTCTGTTGTTATCAAATAAAATTAATAAATAATAAAAACAAAGTCAAAAGGCAAAGTTTTTGACATTAGGGGGTTTTTTCCAAGAAACTGCTGTTTTAAGATAATCAGATTAATTTTTTAAATCACCACTTAGACGATTGTCTTGAAATAAATTACAATTTTAAATTAAGTAAAATCATGCTTTCAATGAGCAATGTCTAAGATCGCTTATTACTAAATGGTACTTTATTTCACGATCGGATACAAATTGGCAGAGCTATGGCTCTAAAACAGTGGTGGGCAAACTCTCATTTTACATAGCACGCGTGTATAGGGTAGGAAATTCTACCGCAGCGCTGCCGGCACACTGACAGTGTGAGCACTCTAAATTTTTTTAAGAAGCTCTCTCATTTAGACTCATTTGACAGCCCAAACTTCAAAATCAAAATGTTTCCACTGAGAAAAATTTTGTTTAGAAATTGGGTTGGAAAAAGTTTTCTTCATGGAGAATATAGATAGGGAAGCGTAGTTTTTAATTTGTTTAAGAAATGTTGCTAGCAAAGATTTTTTTTAATTTAAAATACTCAATTTTAGTGCCCATTCCAACTTTTGAATTAACGAAAAATGAAATAAAAAAATACGTTTTTTTCGCTCAGTGAACTCGCTGCTCTCATTGTTTTTCTCTGCTACGAACACACTCAAATTTTAAACATGTGTTAGTTTTGCCCCCCACTGCTCTAAAACCACAATTTTATCAGGGTACCCCTAGGAAAAAATTCGAAAAATTCAAAATCTATATTAAAGCAATGTTTTGAATGAGGAAAGTCGCTTCCGGGTTCGCTGATTGCAAAATGGTACTTTATATCCCGATCGGATACAAATTGGCAGAGCTATGGCTATCGGAGGGGGCAAAAATGGGGACATTGAAAAAACCCACAATTTTATAGGGGTACCACTACGAAAAAATTCGAAAAAAACAAAAACTATATTAAAGCAATGATTTGAATGAGGAAAGTCGCTTCTGGGTTTGCTGATTACTGAATGGTACTTTGTTTCCTGATCGGATACAAAGTGGCAGAGCTATGGCCATCAGAAGGGGCAAAAGTGGAGAAATGAGAAAAACACACAATTTTATAGGGAAGCACCTTGGAAAAAATTTGGAAAATTTTGAAAACGATATTTAAGCAATATTTTGAATGAGGAAAGTCGCTTCTGGGTTCGCTGATTACTGAATGGTACTTTGTTTCCTGATTGGATAAAAATTGGAAGAGCTATGGTCATCAGATGGAGCAAAAGTGGAGAAATGAGAAAAACACACAATTTTATAGGGGAGCACCTTGGAAAAAATTCGAAAATTTTGAAAACGATATTTAAGCAATATTTTGAATGAGGAAAGTCGCTTCTGGATTCGCCGATTACTGAATGGTACTTTGTTTCCTGATCGGATACAAATTGGGAGAGCTATGGCCATCAGAAGGGGCAAAAGTGGAGAAATGAGAAAAACACACAATTTTATAGGGGAGCACCTTGGAAAAAATTCGAAAATTTTGAAAACGATATTTAAGCAATGTTTTGAATGAGGAAAGTCGCTTCTGGATTCGCCGATTACTGAATGGTACTTTGTTTCCTGATCGGATACAAATTGGCAGAGCTATGGCCATCAGAAGGGGCAAAAGTGGAGAAATGAGAAAAACACACAATTTTATAGGGGAGCACCTTGGAAAAAATTCGAAAATTTTGAAAACGATATTTAAGCAATATTTTGAATGAGGAAAGTCGCTTCTGGATTCGCCGATTACTGAATGGTACTTTGTTTCCTGATCGGATACAAATTGGGAGAGCTATGGCCATCAGAAGGGGCAAAAGTGGAGAAATGAGAAAAACACACAATTTTATAGGGGAGCACCTTGGAAAAAATTCGAAAATTTTGAAAACGATATTCAAGCAATGTTTTGAATTAGGAAAGTCGCTTCTGGATTCGCCGATTACTGAATGGTACTTTGTTTCCTGATCGGATACAAATTGGGAGAGCTATGGCCATCAGAAGGGGCAAAAGTGGAGAAATGAGAAAAACACACAATTTTATAGGGGAGCACCTTGGAAAAAATTCGAAAATTTTGAAAACGATATTTAAGCAATATTTTGAATGAGGAAAGTCGCTTCTGGATTCGCCGATTACTGAATGGTACTTTGTTTCCTGATCGGATACAAATTGGGAGAGCTATGGAGAGCAGAGGTCATCAGAAGGGGCAAAAGTGGAGAAATGAGAAAAACACACAATTTTATAGGGGAGCACCTTGGAAAAAATTCGAAAATTTTGAAAACGATATTCAAGCAATATTTTGAATGAGGAAAGTCGCTTCTGGATTCGCCGATTACTGAATGGTACTTTGTTTCCTGATCGGATACAAATTGGGAGAGCTATGGCCATCAGAAGGGGCAAAAGTGGAGAAATGAGAAAAACACACAATTTTATAGGGGAGCACCTTGGAAAAAATTCGAAAATTTTGAAAACGATATTCAAGCAATGTTTTGAATTAGGAAAGTCGCTTCTGGATTCGCCGATTACTGAATGGTACTTTGTTTCCTGATCGGATACAAATTGGGAGAGCTATGGCCATCAGAAGGGGCAAAAGTGGAGAAATGAGAAAAACACACAATTTTATAGGGGAGCACCTTGGAAAAAATTCGAAAATTTTGAAAACGATATTTAAGCAATATTTTGAATGAGGAAAGTCGCTTCTGGATTCGCCGATTACTGAATGGTACTTTGTTTCCTGATCGGATACAAATTGGGAGAGCTATGGCCATCAGAAGGGGCAAAAGTGGAGAAATGAGAAAAACACACAATTTTATAGGGGAGCACCTTGGAAAAAATTCGAAAATTTTGAAAACGATATTCAAGCAATGTTTTGAATTAGGAAAGTCGCTTCTGGGTTTGCTGATTACTGAATGGTACTTTGTTTCCTGATCGGATACAAATTGGGAGAGCTATGGCCATCAGAAGGGGCAAAAGTGGAGAAATGAGAAAAACACACAATTTTATAGGGGAGCACCTTGGAAAAAATTCGAAAATTTTGAAAACGATATTTAAGCAATATTTTGAATGAGGAAAGTCGCTTCTGGATTCGCCGATTACTGAATGGTACTTTGTTTCCTGATCGGATACAAATTGGGAGAGCTATGGCCATCAGAAGGGGCAAAAGTGGAGAAATGAGAAAAACACACAATTTTATAGGGGAGCACCTTGGAAAAAATTCGAAAATTTTGAAAACGATATTCAAGCAATGTTTTGAATTAGGAAAGTCGCTTCTGGGTTCGCTGATTACTGAATGGTACTTTGTTTCCTGATCGGATACAAATTGGCAGAGCTATGGCCATCAGAAGGGGCAAAAGTGGAGAAATGAGAAAAACACACAATTTTATAGGGGAGCACCTTGGAAAAAATTCGAAAATTTTGAAAACGATATTCAAGCAATGTTTTGAATGAGGAAAGTCGCTTCTGGATTCGCCGATTACTGAATGGTACTTTGTTTCCTGATCGGATACAAATTGGGAGAGCTATGGCCATCAGAAGGGGCAAAAGTGGAGAAATGAGAAAAACACACAATTTTATAGGGGAGCACCTTGGAAAAAATTCGAAAATTTTGAAAACGATATTCAAGCAATGTTTTGAATTAGGAAAGTCGCTTCTGGGTTTGCTGATTACTGAATGGTACTTTGTTTCCTGATCGGATACAAATTGGGAGAGCTATGGCCATCAGAAGGGGCAAAAGTGGAGAAATGAGAAAAACACACAATTTTATAGGGGAGCACCTTGGAAAAAATTCGAAAATTTTGAAAACGATATTTAAGCAATATTTTGAATGAGGAAAGTCGCTTCTGGATTCGCCGATTACTGAATGGTACTTTGTTTCCTGATCGGATACAAATTGGGAGAGCTATGGCCATCAGAAGGGGCAAAAGTGGAGAAATGAGAAAAACACACAATTTTATAGGGGAGCACCTTGGAAAAAATTCGAAAATTTTGAAAACGATATTCAAGCAATGTTTTGAATTAGGAAAGTCGCTTCTGGGTTCGCTGATTACTGAATGGTACTTTGTTTCCTGATCGGATACAAAGTGGCAGAGCTATGGCCATCAGAAGGGGCAAAAGTGGAGAAATGAGAAAAACACACAATTTTATAGGGAAGCACCTTGGAAAAAATTTGGAAAATTTTGAAAACGATATTTAAGCAATATTTTGAATGAGGAAAGTCGCTTCTGGGTTCGCTGATTACTGAATGGTACTTTGTTTCCTGATTGGATAAAAATTGGAAGAGCTATGGTCATCAGATGGAGCAAAAGTGGAGAAATGAGAAAAACACACAATTTTATAGGGGAGCACCTTGGAAAAAATTCGAAAATTTTGAAAACGATATTTAAGCAATGTTTTGAATGAGGAAAGTCGCTTCTGGATTCGCCGATTACTGAATGGTACTTTGTTTCCTGATCGGATACAAATTGGCAGAGCTATGGTCATCAGAAGGGGCAAAAGTGGAGAAATGAGAAAAACACACAATTTTATAGGGGAGCACCTTGGAAAAAATTCGAAAATTTTGAAAACGATATTTAAGCAATATTTTGAATGAGGAAAGTCGCTTCTGGATTCGCCGATTACTGAATGGTACTTTGTTTCCTGATCGGATACAAATTGGGAGAGCTATGGCCATCAGAAGGGGCAAAAGTGGAGAAATGAGAAAAACACACAATTTTATAGGGGAGCACCTTGGAAAAAATTCGAAAATTTTGAAAACGATATTCAAGCAATGTTTTGAATGAGGAAAGTCGCTTCTGGATTCGCCGATTACTGAATGGTACTTTGTTTCCTGATCGGATACAAATTGGCAGAGCTATGGCCATCAGAAGGGGCAAAAGTGGAGAAATGAGAAAAACACACAATTTTATAGGGGAGCACCTTGGAAAAAATTCGAAAATTTTGAAAACGATATTTAAGCAATATTTTGAATGAGGAAAGTCGCTTCTGGGTTTGCTGATTACTGAATGGTACTTTGTTTCCTGATCGGATACAAATTGGGAGAGCTATGGCCATCAGAAGGGGCAAAAGTGGAGAAATGAGAAAAACACACAATTTTATAGGGGAGCACCTTGGAAAAAATTCGAAAATTTTGAAAACGATATTTAAGCAATGTTTTGAATGAGGAAAGTCGCTTCTGGATTCGCCGATTACTGAATGGTACTTTGTTTCCTGATCGGATACAAATTGGCAGAGCTATGGCCATCAGAAGGGGCAAAAGTGGAGAAATGAGAAAAACACACAATTTTATAGGGGAGCACCTTGGAAAAAATTCGAAAATTTTGAAAACGATATTTAAGCAATATTTTGAATGAGGAAAGTCGCTTCTGGATTCGCCGATTACTGAATGGTACTTTGTTTCCTGATCGGATACAAATTGGGAGAGCTATGGCCATCAGAAGGGGCAAAAGTGGAGAAATGAGAAAAACACACAATTTTATAGGGGAGCACCTTGGAAAAAATTCGAAAATTTTGAAAACGATATTCAAGCAATGTTTTGAATTAGGAAAGTCGCTTCTGGATTCGCCGATTACTGAATGGTACTTTGTTTCCTGATCGGATACAAATTGGGAGAGCTATGGCCATCAGAAGGGGCAAAAGTGGAGAAATGAGAAAAACACACAATTTTATAGGGGAGCACCTTGGAAAAAATTCGAAAATTTTGAAAACGATATTTAAGCAATATTTTGAATGAGGAAAGTCGCTTCTGGATTCGCCGATTACTGAATGGTACTTTGTTTCCTGATCGGATACAAATTGGGAGAGCTATGGAGAGCAGAGGTCATCAGAAGGGGCAAAAGTGGAGAAATGAGAAAAACACACAATTTTATAGGGGAGCACCTTGGAAAAAATTCGAAAATTTTGAAAACGATATTCAAGCAATATTTTGAATGAGGAAAGTCGCTTCTGGATTCGCCGATTACTGAATGGTACTTTGTTTCCTGATCGGATACAAATTGGGAGAGCTATGGCCATCAGAAGGGGCAAAAGTGGAGATGTGAGAAAAACACACAATTTTATAGGGGAGCACCTTGGAAAAAATTCGAAAATTTTGAAAACGATATTTAAGCAATATTTTGAATGAGGAAAGTCGCTTCTGGATTCGCCGATTACTGAATGGTACTTTGTTTCCTGATCGGATACAAATTGGGAGAGCTATGGAGAGCAGAGGTCATCAGAAGGGGCAAAAGTGGAGAAATGAGAAAAACACACAATTTTATAGGGGAGCACCTTGGAAAAAATTCGAAAATTTTGAAAACGATATTTAAGCAATATTTTGAATGAGGAAAGTCGCTTCTGGATTCGCCGATTACTGAATGGTACTTTGTTTCCTGATCGGATACAAATTGGGAGAGCTATGGAGAGCAGAGGTCATCAGAAGGGGCAAAAGTGGAGAAATGAGAAAAACACACAATTTTATAGGGGAGCACCTTGGAAAAAATTCGAAAATTTTGAAAACGATATTCAAGCAATATTTTGAATGAGGAAAGTCGCTTCTGGATTCGCCGATTACTGAATGGTACTTTGTTTCCTGATCGGATACAAATTGGGAGAGCTATGGCCATCAGAAGGGGCAAAAGTGGAGAAATGAGAAAAACACACAATTTTATAGGGGAGCACCTTGGAAAAAATTCGAAAATTTTGAAAACGATATTTAAGCAATATTTTGAATGAGGAAAGTCGCTTCTGGATTCGCCGATTACTGAATGGTACTTTGTTTCCTGATCGGATACAAATTGGGAGAGCTATGGAGAGCAGAGGTCATCAGAAGGGGCAAAAGTGGAGAAATGAGAAAAACACACAATTTTATAGGGGAGCACCTTGGAAAAAATTCGAAAATTTTGAAAACGATATTCAAGCAATGTTTTGAATTAGGAAAGTCGCTTCTGGATTCGCCGATTACTGAATGGTACTTTGTTTCCTGATCGGATACAAATTGGGAGAGCTATGGCCATCAGAAGGGGCAAAAGTGGAGAAATGAGAAAAACACACAATTTTATAGGGGAGCACCTTGGAAAAAATTCGAAAATTTTGAAAACGATATTTAAGCAATATTTTGAATGAGGAAAGTCGCTTCTGGATTCGCCGATTACTGAATGGTACTTTGTTTCCTGATCGGATACAAATTGGGAGAGCTATGGCCATCAGAAGGGGCAAAAGTGGAGAAATGAGAAAAACACACAATTTTATAGGGGAGCACCTTGGAAAAAATTCGAAAATTTTGAAAACGATATTCAAGCAATGTTTTGAATTAGGAAAGTCGCTTCTGGGTTTGCTGATTACTGAATGGTACTTTGTTTCCTGATCGGATACAAATTGGGAGAGCTATGGCCATCAGAAGGGGCAAAAGTGGAGAAATTAGAAAAACACACAATTTTATAGGGGAGCACCTTGGAAAAAATTCGAAAATTTTGAAAACGATATTTAAGCAATATTTTGAATGAGGAAAGTCGCTTCTGGATTCGCCGATTACTGAATGGTACTTTGTTTCCTGATCGGATACAAATTGGGAGAGCTATGGCCATCAGAAGGGGCAAAAGTGGAGAAATGAGAAAAACACACAATTTTATAGGGGAGCACCTTGGAAAAAATTCGAAAATTTTGAAAACGATATTCAAGCAATGTTTTGAATTAGGAAAGTCGCTTCTGGGTTCGCTGATTACTGAATGGTACTTTGTTTCCTGATCGGATACAAATTGGCAGAGCTATGGCCATCAGAAGGGGCAAAAGTGGAGAAATGAGAAAAACACACAATTTTATAGGGGAGCACCTTGGAAAAAATTCGAAAATTTTGAAAACGATATTCAAGCAATGTTTTGAATGAGGAAAGTCGCTTCTGGATTCGCCGATTACTGAATGGTACTTTGTTTCCTGATCGGATAAAAATTGGCAGAGCTATGGTCATCAGATGGAGCAAAAGTGGAGAAATGAGAAAAACACACAATTTTATAGGGGAGCACCTTGGAAAAAATTCGAAAATTTTGAAAACGATATTCAAGCAATGTTTTGAATTAGGAAAGTCGCTTCTGGGTTCGCTGATTACTGAATGGTACTTTGTTTCCTGATCGGATAAAAATTGGCAGAGCTATGGTCATCAGATGGAGCAAAAGTGGAGAAATGAGAAAAACACACAATTTTATAGGGGAGCACCTTGGAAAAAAAAAATTCGAAAATTTTGAAAACGATATTTAAGCAATGTTTTGAATGAGGAAAGTCCCTTCTGGGTTCGCTGATTACTGAATGGTACTTTGTTTCCTGATCGGATACAAATTGGCAGAGCTATGGCCATCAGAAGGGGCAAAAGTGGAAAAATGAGAAAAACCTACACTTTTATAGGGGAGCCCCTTGGAAAAAATTCGAAAATTTTGAAAACGATATTTAAGCAATGTTTTGAATAAGGAAAGTCGCTTCTGGGTTCGCTGATTACTGAATGGTATTTTGTTTCCTGATCGGATACAAATTGGCAGAGCTATGGCCATCAGAAGGGGCAAAAGTGGAAAAATGAGAAAAACCTACACTTTTATAGGGGAGCCCCTTGGAAAAAATTCGAAAATTTTTAAAACGATATTCAAGCAATGTTTTGAATGAGGAAAGTCCCTTCTGGGTTCGCTGATTACTGAATGGTACTTTGTTTCCTGATCGGATACAAATTGGCAGAGCTATGGCCATCAGAAGGGGCAAAAGTGGAAAAATGAGAAGAACCCACAAATTTATAGGGGAGCACCTTGGAAAAAATTTGAAAATTTTGAAAATGATTTTCAAGCAATGTTTTGAATGAGGAAAGTCGCTTCTGGGCACGCTGATTGCAAAATGCAAATCCCAATCGGATGCAAATTGGCAGAGCTATAGCGATCGGAGGGGGCAATAGTGGGAAAATTGGAAAAACCCACAATTTTGTGGGAGAAAACCTAATGGATGCTGTAGGAGGATGCTGCGCGCTTTCAGTCTTGGAAGATTTGCCTCGGCATCCTGGGCATTCCGTTTCTGGACGGGATCCGTGTGTTGTCTGCTGTGCATTGGGAAATATATATTTTATTGATGGAGGGGTAAGTTTATTTCACAAGTGGGACTTCTTGTGATAAAATAAAACAATATAAATTTCATGTTGTTTGTTTATTCATTACTTTTTAAGATTAAATGTTTGTGGAACAAATCAATAATTTGAACTTTTCACAGTTTTGCGTGGCTTATTAGTATTCGTCGTTCTCAAATGGATGATGGGGATGACCGTATTGGCTGTAAAAGTTAAACAAAAAATCATTAATACGCATGTAAACAGAAGGGAATAACATTTAACAGCTAACAGAATATTTAGGCAATAAATAAACATTTTTTTTTAATTTGTTTAAATTAGTAAGCAAAGCAAGCACATAAGAAGTTAAGAAAACGAAGCTAAAAGAGCTAAGTAACTCCAGCTACTGTAAACAAAAACGAACTAAGGAAAACAATTGGGGGCTTTAAAGAAAGTAAAACATACGTATGATATACACCATTAACATATGTGGTTGTTCTTGGGAATCTTGAGAGGTTTAATTTTCAATAGGCATGGCTTCTCACTAAGTAATGTTCTTCGAAACTGTTCGTTTGGCATATATCGATTTCAAAATATGGTTAATACTCGTCGTGGAAGGGATAGTACTTGTGGGCACCAGCCTCCCTAAATGATTGTAAATGAAAAATACAATTACAAATGTGTTACTTGTGTACAAATGATTAAAATAATGAATAAAAAAACTCCCCAATTTTAAAATAAAAATGTTACCCTCAAACGCCGACTTAATTAGTATTAATTAAGGTGAGTTTTTGTACTTACTTAAGCAAAGGTACCAGACGACCGTTGCACTCGAAACTCTCGATAACCGCAATGTCCTCGGGAGACAGTACGAAATCAAAGACCTGGAAGTTGGATTCGATGCGGTCCTTGGTCACCGACTTGGGAATAACGATGTTGGTGCGCTGGATCTGGTAACGGATCAGAACCTGTCCAGGGGTCTTCTTCAGTTTGGCTGCCAGCTCCTTGATCTGTGAATAAAAGTTTGGATTAAGGTACATCCAAGCCAGATTTTAAAATTCATTGTACCTTGGGCTCCTCCAGGATGACCGGATCGCCTTCCTTGGCCCAGGGGCGGTTGGGCGAGCCCAGGGGACTGTAAGCGGTGATCGCAATGTCCTTCGACTTGCAGAAGTCAATCAGTTTCTTCTGGGTCAGATACGGATGGCACTCGATCTGGTTGGTAGCTGGGGGGATCTTGGCAACAGCGAGCACACGCTCGATCTGCTTCCTGTTGAAGTTGGACACACCAATGGACTTGACCAGGCCGTCCTCGACCAGCTTCTCCATGGCCTTCCAGGTGTCCACATAGTCGACCGGTGAGTACTGAGTGTTACCCTGCTTGTCGACCGGGAAGAGTTCACATCCCTCCTTATAGCCCATGGGCCAGTGGATCAGGTACAGATCCAGGTACTTAAGCTTCAGGGCAGACAGCGTATTCTCCACGGCAGTCCTGACCAGATCCGGACGATGGAAAGTGTTCCACAGTTTGCTGGTAACGAACAGGTCCTCACTGGAAAACATTAGGAATTAGAGTCTTTCAAAGAATATGTAAGTCAGGATAAGCCTACCGCTTGACAACTCCCTCCTTGATCTTGATCTCAATACCCTCGCCGACCTCATCCTCGTTCTGGTAGACATGGGCACAATCAATGTGCCTGTATCCAGCATCGATGGCGATTTTGACAGCCTCGGTGACCTGACCTTTGGGGCTCTGAAAAAAGTTTAAGAAAAGAAATTTTATTTTTAGCTTCAGAAGCTTATCTCCAGCCAAGTAATAAACATTTGCTAATTGACATTGACAGGTCTAATAAATATTCTACTCTTAATAAGTGCAAGTAATATTTCGAATAAGAACGAAAGGTCTTTCAAAGCGTCATATTCACATGGAACATTCGAATCTCTAAGCGGAATTTCGCAATGAAGTGACCACCAGACTTTCAGTTGCCAGGAGCGTGATATGGTAATCGAAATATAAGCTGGATTATCTGACCACTTGACGTCACTTATCAGTCCCCAGTTTAAGTGCCCCCCATCCAAAGTGGTCGCAGCCCCCCGTTTAAGTGCCCCCCATCCAACGTGGTCGAAGAGATCAGAATTGGGTCGAAACATGGAAGCAAAATATCAATTGTACTTAAAAAAGGGGCTGGATTGTGAGCATTATAAACCGGATGGGTTTAATAAATCCGTTTTTAATTTTTAGCTTATTAATACAGAAAGTATAACCTAATCTCAAAAAAGTTTTAGGTCAAAGATTTGACATAATAAATATATATTACCAACCCCCCGAAAAATCTATAATTTATGGCCTTGCAAAGAATCAGCAATTAAAACTATTAGTTATTTATTATACTTAGTTTCAGTGCATCAGATAAGTCTTGTCTTGTGAAATAAAATGTGAATACCCTTTGAATACCCTTGCAAAATAATTATCAGTTGAGGTGTAATGTAATTTGTTTATTTTGAATACTTTAAAGGGGCGCGTCTTTCATGTCTACTTGAACCCAAGACTACGATCATATATTTCATGAAATAAATGAAATAATGAAAATCTTCTCGAACCTGTAACAATCTTTTTGTGAAATCCTCCACTTCAGATAAGAACATTTATCAAGTTTAGTTGTTGATGTTTGTAGGCAAACCATGAGGCCAGAAAATTTATGTCTATAAGAGGGTGTTTTTTCAAGAGGTGATGTGGCAAATAATTTTACAAAAAATTCCATAGTTGAAAGAAGAAAGTAAGGGTCACCTTCAACAAAAGGTAGAACAAGTTCACTAATGAAAAACTAAATTTTTCTAAGTGTGAAGATTTGTTCTGTTAAAAATGACACTATCACACTTTTATATATAGAGTATATATTTATACATATGTTTATATATTTATATGTATAAATTGCCGGCAAAAAAACTATCAGCAATGCCACGCGCGCTGTGATTTTTTTTACCCCTATATTTTCAAGCATCAGTGCAAATATTAAATGGGATAACGAACTTGGCAAAACGGGAAGTTGTGGGCAGCGGAAAAATACCCGATTAGAGGGACTGTACTCCCACACAATTACAAACTTAACAATACTAATGTGCAAGTTTTTACAATTTAATTAATGCAGTTACTCGATAAAGTATTCTACTTACGCCCCAGGTTCCCAGACCAATGATGGGGATTTCGTGGCCGTTGTTGAATTTAACTGTTGGTACTTTAGTAGCCATTTTGTTTGTGTCCTTTTTTTCTTACTGCTTAAGGATCAAATATTATATTAGCACCTATAATTATAATCAGGCACTTCTCAAATAAAAACTGAACGCCCTCACACAGCTGATTGCCGCTTATATATGGTTCGAGAGCTTTACCAAAGTTTTGGAAAGTTTTTAAACCAGGGATGCACAGGCGGAAATCCACATCAGCTGTGCGATCGTAAGCGTTAATTTTAAATTTACAAAAGTATTTAATTTTTTCTAAATAAAGGAAAGATTTTACTATCCTAATTGTTTTAAAATTACTTCTCAATTATAAAAACTCATTTATACTGATTAGAGAACTCTTCAGAGCCCGACAGCGAAAATATAACTTAAATGACTTTTAATTTATTTAATTTCCTGTGTCTTTAAAGTTTAAACTAATATCTATCAACACTACTTACCATCCAAGTACCTAGACCTATTACGGGAATTTCATTGCCGTCCTTGAAGACCACTTTCGGACGCCCTGGGATCTCCTTTTGGCACCTATATACCAATGTTAACTAGATTTCTCAGGATTTCCAAAATCCTTACCACATAAACCTCTCCACTTTCGCATAATTTCTAACTACCGTCCATGAAACTGGTTTGAACAAGTGTGGCTTAAATATTTTGTTCATGTTGAAATATTTTTAGTGTTATTGAACTTTAAAGATATAAAAACCAATGCTTGCTTAATGGGTCTGAATTTTATTTTTGCTATATAAAAAATAGCATATAAAATAAATACATTAGAAAGAAAAGCCACATCTTGACAACCGGAACAAAGAAATGTTTCGAGAAAAATAAATCTAATGGAAAAAATTTTTCAGAAACTTTAAATTAGTTTAGAAAATTATTTAAATTGCATTTAATTGTCGTGTAAATATGCTAAAATTTATTAAAGAATAAGTGAAATTAGACAATATTTGGGACTTTCAACGAAAGGATCAATGCAATGTAGAGTGGTTTTGGTCTATTGATCCAGAACCTTTACAATTAATACTTTGAAATGCATTATTTCCCCTGGCCAAGCTCAAAAGGATGATGAGGATGTCCATAGGCTCTAAAAATATTTGAGATTTTCATTACAAATACCATTTTTAAAGTTCGAATTTAAACTTACGCCTTCATGGTCATAAAACGTCCATTGCAGTCTAAATCATCTATAGCCTTGATATCGTCAATGGCCAGTCCAAAGTCCCAGATGCGTTTGAAATTGTCGTGCATGTGCTGCTTGCTTACGGATCGCGGGATAACAATAATGCCCGATTGTGTCTGGTAACGGAGAAGGACCTGAGCCGGGGTCCTGCCGTACTTCTCGGCTATGCCCAGAATGGTGGGATGCTGGAGCAGCGGATAGGCACCGGGCTTCTCGTACGGTGTATGACCAGATCCCAAGGAGCTATAAGCTGTAACAGCTATGGCATTGTCATAGCACAAAGTGATCAGGGATTTCTGTCGGAGATACGGATGGCATTCGATCTGGAGGACTACCGGCTTCAGTTTGGCCATGCTCAGTAATCGGTTGATTTGTTGCTCATTAAAGTTGGATACCCCGATGGCGTGGCAAATACCCTCGTCCACCAGATCCTCCATTGCCCGCCAGGTGTCCACGTAGTCGATGTCCTCGAAAACGGCCTTGCCGGTATCCGGGCAGGTGGGGTAAAGGTTATCCCCCGTCTTGTAGGCCATGGGCCAGTGCATTAGATAGAGATCCAAATAGCCCACACCCAGATTCTTGATGCTTGTCTCGCAGGCGGAACGAACTAGATCCGGCTTGTGGTATGTGTTCCAGAGTTTGCTTGTGATAAATAGTTGATCCCTGGAGGGGTTTTCGGATAAAAAAAGGGAGTACACAACGAATATACCATTTTCTCACCGTGTTACAACTCCCTCATTTATTTTATCGCGTAGAGCAGACCCCACCTGGCTCTCGTTTCCATAAATATGGGCGCAGTCAAAGTGACGATATCCAATGTCAATAGCATCCTTAACGGCCTGTGTGATGACCTCCGGAGGACTCTTTAAACAAAAAATAACGTTAAAAGCTTAGATGCAACAAAAGCTTGCATTTAAAGAAAACTTGCAAACGCTTTGAGCTTTGACATTGACCATGAAATAAGCCAATTGCATGTTCCTCTTAAATGGATATTACTTAATGGCATTTCCATTTCTTGGACCTCAACTCACCCGCCAGGTGCCTAGGCCCACCATAGGCATATTTTTACCATTGCTCAGTAGAAAATTTGGCGTCGCCATATCTTTGTGTTTGAGTTTCCCTGCCGGCAAGTCCTTCTTCTCCTTCTAAATTGTATGAATTGATTTTCGGCGAAACTCTGTGTTTTCAAAGTTAGAATTTATAATTTACCGAAAAAACTAAACACAAGGGTCTGTAAATTTGGCTACAAATGAAATTTGTTGTGACAGCTTTGGTAGCACGTCTATATGTACGTAAATAGTTTAAATTTAGAAACTTGTGAGCAAGCACAAGACCTTCGAGAAACATAATCGATTCGCCAAGAAGAGTTTGTTAAATAGTCAGCCAAGTTTAAAATTAAGAGCTTAATTTAAATTTGTAAAGCTTGCTTTAGAGGATTTTAACATCTTTATTGAAGATGTCATTAATTTTATGGAGAGATAAATTAAAATGAAGGCCTATTTTTGCACAAGAAGTGAAATGCATTTCAAAAAACTATTTTTTTAACAAGAAACCGTATGTCTTTAAGGAAAAACAGACTTTAGACTTCGTATAAGTCTATACCTTCTATTCCTTACTTTTGCCTATTTCTTTTTTTATTTAATCTTTATACTGAATCAAAATAAAGCAGTTTCATTATAAAGGGAAAAAATGTTAAAATTTAAAATTTTTATTTTCGTACGAATCGGTTAAAAACCGTTAGAGTTATAAAGGTTTGCGAAAACAAGCACTAAATAGGTTTTTATTGTTTTGAAGTCTGGTCACACTTCTGCCGGGTGTTTATGTTTTTGGAAAATAAATATAAGATGTTTTCCACCGTAAATAATTATTTGTCCGGTGTTTTACACGCTGTTGAGGATTACGATGGCGAAGCCCTTGGTACGTACCTCTCCCTGCGGGATGTCCATGTACAGAACCACAATCTGTACATCGCCCAGCCAGAGAAGCTGGTGGAGCGATTTTTAAAGCCTCCGCTTGATGAAGTGGTAACCGCTCACATGAAAGTCCTATACCACTTGGCCCAGGACCCACCCGACTACATGGAGGCCTATAACCAACAGGCAGCGGCATGTGGAGCTGTGGTGCGTCTGCTCCAGCAACTGAAAGACGAGAACTGGTGCTTGCCACTGATGTACCGCGTGTGTTTGGATCTGAGGTACTTGGCGCAGGCATGCGAGAAACACTGCCGAGGATTCACCCCGGGAAATATCCTGGAAAAGGCAGCCGACTGTATGATGGCCTGTTTCCGGGTGTGTGCAGCTGACGGAAGAGCTTCCGAGGAGGACACAAAGCGACTGGGAATGATGAATCTGATCAATCAGCTCTTTAAGATCTACTTTCGCATCAACAAACTGCATCTTTGCAAGCCCCTGATCCGGGCCATCGAAAACTGCAACTTTAGGGATTCCTTTCCTTTGCCAGAGCAGATCACCTACAAATACTTTGTGGGCCGGCGGGCCATGTTTGATTCTAATTACCAGGCAGCTGTAGAGGATCTATCGTATGCTTTTACCCACTGTCCGGACCGTTTTGCGAGCAACAAACGGCTCATACTTATCTACCTGGTGCCGGTAAAGATGCTGCTGGGATATCTTCCAACGAAATCCCTCCTCCAGCGGTATGATCTCTTGCTGTTTCATGACCTGGCACAGGCACTGAAGGCGGGAAATGTGAAGCGGTTCGACGAGATTGTCAGGGAACAAGAACTGGTGCTGATTCGCAGCGGCATATATCTCCTGGTGGAGAAGCTGAAGTTCATCGTCTACAGGAACCTGTTCAAGAAAGTATTCGCTATCCGACAGACACATCAATTGGACATGGGTGACTTCCTTTCCGCTTTGCAGTTTGTAGGTGTAACAGATGTATCGCTCGACGAGACCCACTGCATCATCGCCAATCTCATCTACGAGGGAAAGATTAAAGGCTACATCTCACATATCCACAACAAACTGGTAGTGTCAAAGCAGATCCCATTCCCTCCTCTATTATCCACATAGTGCATTTATTGTTACTTTTAATAATAAAACAGAAACAAGAAAATTAAATTACCATTTTATTGGTCACGGTTGGCTCTAATTTTCCGTCTCAAATCGTAAATCCATTTTCATTTATGGCTTGAACAAGTTTTCTTATGATTTAGTTTATTTTATGAAATGATGTTCTGCAGTCTACTTCCCAAAGCTGTCGTTTTGTTGTTAATAATTCGAGCAGTTCGTACTCTAGTTACGGGTGAGGACTTTTCTAAATATTGCAAAATAAGGAACTGTCCGGCAAATAAAACTCACATTGCCTGCAATACAACCAATGTAAGTATTTTGTTACAATATGTAAGCTATTAAAACTGAAGGCCTTTTTTGATAGAGTTGGTCTCCAAAATGTGGTAAAAATCCAGAAATTATGCCCTTACCGGAAAATGTACAAAAGATTATTCTATATATTCACAACATCTATCGCGACGCTGTAGCTAGTGGGTTGATCTTTCGACTTCCTCCGGCCGGGAGAATGCTAAAACTGAAATGGAGTCCCAAACTGGCTGAGATGGCCGAGCTCATGATTAAAAGATGTGATCTCCAAGCTCCCAAGGAATGCCATTCCACGTACGAATTTGAAAATCCCAGCTATCATGCCATTTACAACAAATTTAAAAAGAATCAGCATAAATTGCAAGTGCTGAAATCTCAATTGAATACTTGGTATAATGAGTACAAATACGTGAACCTAGTGAGTCTAGTGGATGGATCGTCTATAGATAAGTTAGTTTGGTTGAATTTAATTCCGACTATGTATAAATATTTTTTCCATATTTTTAGCAAGGAAATTGGTCACTTTCTAAGGATGATGGTGGGTCCCAGTAACCGAGTGGGCTGCGCTATGGCTCGGGAGCACCGGGATGGCTGGACCTATCAATGGTTGGCTTGCCTTTACAGTTGTCCCCCCCGGAATCAAATTTTACTTTACGAGCACGCCGCCCGCCCTGGGGATTACTGTTTAACGGGAACGGATAGTAAGTTCCGGAATCTTTGCCATGAATCGGAACCAGAACACTATTGCAAATTATATCCAGAAAAGTTTACACACCTGGTTGATAACAGCACAGCGATTTACTTAAAAAGAATGCTTCACGGCATCATGCCAAGGACTGGTGGCGTGTGGTGTAGGATTTGCGGATTATGTTGCGAATGGGTCCAATGGGGCGTTACTACTGGAGACCTAGTTGATAAAACGGCAACTTTACTGTTAGGGCCTGAATTTTCATTGGACAAACTAATAAAATTGCCCTTCTTAGGATAATTAGGGCTTTACTCCTTTTGTTGAGGCTATATTCTAGACCTTCCTATGATTTATTTTGTAAATTTTGTGCTTTTCAAAAAGTTTTTTAATAAATTTTAAACTGTTGCTGAACAGCAGATTTTAATAGAATAAAAAGTAGTGTCAAAGCAAATCCCATTCCCTCCTCTATTATCCATTTAGTGCATTTATTGTTACTTTTAATAATAAAACAGAAAAAAGAAAATTAAATGACCATTTTATTGGTCACGGTTGGCCCTAATTTTCCGTCTCAAATCGTAAATCCATTTTCATTAATGACTTGAACAAGTTCTCTTATGATTTAGTTTATTTTATGAAATAATGTGGTGCAGTCTACTTCCTAAATCTGTGGTCTTGTTGTTAATTATTGGAGCAGTTCGTGCCCATAATACGGTTGAGGACTTTTCTAAATATTGCAAAATAAGGAACTGTCCGGCAAATAAAACTCACATTGCCTGCAATACAACCAATGTAAGTATTTTGTTATAATATGTAAGATATTTAGAGTTAAGGTCTTTTTTTTACAGAGTTGGTCCCCAAAATGTGGTAAAAATCCACAAATTATGCCCTTACCGGTAGATGTACAAAGGATCATTCTAAATTATCACAACATCTATCGCGACTCTATAGCTAGTGGCTTAATCATGCGACTTCCTCCGGCCGGGAGAATGCTTAAAATGAAGTGGAGTCCTAAACTGGCTGAGATGGCCCAGCTCATCATTAAAAGATGTGACCTCCAGGCTCCCAAGGAATGCCATTCCACGTACGAATTTGAAAATCCCAGCTATCATGCCATTTACAACAAATTCAAAAAGAATCAGCATAAATTGCAAGTGCTGAAATCTCAGCTAAATACTTGGTATAATGAGTACAAATACGTGAATCTAGTGAGTCTAGTGGATGGCTCGTCTGTAGATAAGTTAGTTTAGCTGAATTTAATTCCGACTATGTATTAATATTTTTTCCCTATTTTTAGCAAGGAAATTGGTCACTTTCTAAGGATGATGGTGGGTCCCAGTAACCGAGTGGGCTGTGCTATGGCTCGGGAGCACCGGGATGGCTGGACCTACCAATGGCTGGCTTGCCTTTACAGTTGTCCTCCCCGGAATCAATCTCTACTTTACGAGCATTCCTCCCGCCCGGGGGATTACTGCATAACCGGCACTGATAGTAAGTTCCGAAATCTTTGCCATGAATCGGAACCAGACCACTATTGCAAGCTATATCCAGAAAAGCTTACACATTTGGTTGATAAGAACACAGTGACTCACTTGAAAAATATGGTTCACGGCATCAGGCCAAGAAATGATAACATATATTGTAGGATTTGCGAATTATGTTGCGAATGGCGTGATTGGGCGCTTACCACTGAAGACATAATTGATCGATCGGCAAATATGTTCATAGGTCCTGGTTTTTCGATAAAAGAAGTGTTAAGATTTATTTTCCTATAATAATAAAGGGCTTCTTTTGTTGAGTCATATTATTCTAGCCAACTTCTTTGTTTAAATTTGTAAACATTGCGCTTTTCAGCTTTCATGTAGTTTTTAATAAAGTTGAGATTACATCAGATTTTGGTCGGAAAAATTTTAAAGGGTACATCTCACATATCCACAACAAACAGGTAGTGTCTAAGCAAATCTCATTCCCTCCTCTATAATCCACTTGGTGCATTAATTGTTACTTTTAATAATAAAACAGAAACAAGAAAATTTAATGACCATAATATTGGTCACGGCTGGCTCAAATTTTCCGTCTCAAATCAAAAATCCATTTTCTTTTATGACCAGAACAAGTTTTCTTATGATTTAGTTTATTTTATGAAATAATGTGGGGCAGTCTACTTCCCAAAGCTGTGGTCTTGTTGTTAATTATTGGAGCAGTTCGTGCCCATAATACGGTTGAGGACTTTTCTAAATATTGCAAAATAAGGAACTGTCCGGCAAATAAAACTCACATTGCCTGCAATACAACCAATGTAAGTATTTTGTTATAATATGTAAGCTATTTAAACTGAAGGCCTTTTTTGACAGAGTTGGTCTCCAAAATGTGGTAAAAATGCAGAAATTATGTCCTTACCGGTAGATGTACAAAGGATCATTCTAAATTATCACAATATCTATCGCGACTCTGTAGCTAGTGGGTTGATCTTGCGACTTCCTCCGGCCGGGAGAATGCTAAAACTCAAATGGAGTCCCAAACTGGCTGAGATGGCCGAGCTCATGATTAAAAGATGTGACCTCCAGGCTCCCAAGGAATGCCATTCCACGTACGAATTTGAAAATCCCAGCTATCATGCCATTTACAACAAATTTAAAAAGAATCAGCATAAATTCCAAGTGTTGAAATCTCAGCTAAATACTTGGTATAATGAGTACAAATACGTGAATCTAGTGAGTCTAGTGGATGGATCGTCTGTAGATAAGTTAGTTTGGCTGAATTTAATTCCGACTATGTATAAAAAATCTTTCCTTATTTTTTAGCAAGGAAATTGGTCACTTTCTAAGGATGATGGTGGGTCCCAGCAACCGAGTGGGCTGTGCTATGGCTCGGGAGCACCGGGATGGCTGGACCTACCAATGGCTGGCTTGCCTTTACAGTTGTCCTCCCCAGAATCAAATTTTACTTTACGAGCACGCCGCCCGCCCGGGGGAATACTGTTTAACGGGAACGGATAGTAAGTTCCGGAATCTTTGCAATGATTCGGAACCAGAACACTATTGCAAATTATATCCAGAAAAGTTTACACACCTGGTTGACAACAGCACAGCGATTTACTTAAAAAAAATGCTTCACGGCATCAAGCCAAGGTCTGGTGGTGGCGTATGGTGTAGGTTTTGCGAATTATGTTGCGAATGGATCCAATGGGGCATGACTACTGGACCCCTTGTTGCTAAAACGGCAAGTTTATTTACAGGGCCTGGTTTTTTAATAAGCTCAATAATAAAATTACCCTTCTTTGGGTAATAAAAGGCTCATTTTGTTGAGCCATGTTATTTTAGACAACTCCTATGATTTCATTGGCAATATTTTTGCTTTTAACTTTAAAGTTTTTTAACAAAGCTTAAACTTTTCTACACAGTAGATATATACTATCAAGTATGAAAACTATCAAATAAACTATCAAGTATGACACATTTAATTCGTTCAGATGAAAAATATACAGACTATTTATTGCCTCATCTTATTATCTAAAAAAAAGGATATCCAGAAATATATTGAATAATAATAAATATTATTAATAATATGTTTTAAATATTACTTATATATATATTATTAAGTAATATGTTACAAATTATTATTGTTTTTATTGTATTTCATTTAAAAATAACATTTTTCCTTTATTGTAAAATTTAAATATAACTTATTTTTACAATTAAAATCTGGCAGCACTGAATATCAGCAGCCCCATTTTAAAATAATGTGACAAAATATCGATAGTGGTAATAAAACATCGATGTTTCGAAAGATTTGGGAAAAGTCGATGTTTTCATCGATGTTTCTCCACCTCTACTATTTTCGTAGCGGTCAGGGGCGAAATTAACAAATTAAAACAAAACTCACCTGGGTTTTACAAGGTAGGTGAAGGACGTGACCACTTGCTAGGTTCACTTTTCCCATTGTGTCAACGTTGTTTCGGAGGGGGCGTCGTGAGACCCAGCTCAGCCGGCTAGGTGTTTGCGTTCATTGTCGTAAAATCAATATTACTAATTTTGCTTTACGTTTACAACGTGACATAACTAAATCGCGGCTCCAGGCAGCTAACTAATTCGTGTGGTGCCTTCTTTTTCAGAAAGCGGCAGAAACGTACCTGGAAAACATCCCCTTAGTGCAATCGAAGAGAAGACATGTCTGCGCCGGTGATTGTCGAGGCCACGGTCAAGCAGACCGCCACGGTGGGTGCTCCTCTGACCCCACAGAAATAATGTATTCTCTAATTTTATCATCTACTTCCAGCTGATTTTCATGCATGGCTTGGGAGACACGGGGTAAGTCCTATATAGAAAATATTTGTCAGCTTCAACTGATTAACGACCTTTTTTTTCCGCTCAGTCATGGCTGGAGCAGCGCTTTGGCCGCCATCCGGCCACCCTTCATGAAGGTCATCTGCCCCACGGCGCCCACACAGCCTGTTTCGCTGAATGCCGGCTTTAGGATGCCATCGTGGTTTGATCTGAAGACCCTGGACATTGGAGGGCCGGAGGACGAGCCGGGAATTCGGGAGGCGCGCGATAGCGTACACAGCATGATACAAAAGGAGGTCAGTGCTGGAATACCCGCAAACCGCATCGTCCTGGGAGGCTTTTCGCAGGGCGGAGCCCTGGCATTGTACTCGGCGCTGACCTATGACCAACCGCTGGCCGGTGTGGTGGCTCTGTCCTGTTGGTTGCCGCTGCACAAGCAGTTCCCCGACGCCAAGGTCAACAGCGACGATGTGCCCATCTTCCAGGCGCATGGCGACTACGATCCCGTGGTGCCCTACAAATTCGGCCAGCTGAGTGCCAGCCTGCTCAAGTCGTTCATGAAGAATGTGACGTTCAAGACCTACAGTGGACTATCGCACTCGTCGTCCGACGACGAGATGGACGACGTCAAGGTGAGTTAGAAGAGGTGCTGGTGCACCAAAGCTCTGGAACTTAGCTAATGAACTTCATTACACACTCTTTGCTCTTTTCAATTACAGGACATAATCAGTAAATGGGTAAACTAATTTCCAATGAACCTTAGCACTCTATTAGAACGTACTAAAGCCCCCGACCCAGCCCGTTGCATTCCAACGATCACAAAATACCATGGAGCAGACGAACATAATTAAAGCGTTGAAAATCCAAGCGCAGTAAGAGAGTACCACACACAGAGAAATATGCTAATTATCGAGTACGAGTCCACCACTCGCTCTCTTGCGTAGCCCACTTATGGAAATTATCACTAAAAATCAATTCGGAAAGCAATCAATTATACACACACGTAGCTATACCTAAAATTTAATGAAATGCCAAAATACAAGCAATTTGCGAGGGAAATTCGTCTGGGCGAGACGTGTTAGAGTGTAAGACTCTCTTTGATATTGGTTCGCTGCTTAGTTATTTCGTTTTACTTACTTCGGACTTGTGCGTATTTTAATTGAAATTAATAAAGTTATATAATCCAGCAAAAAGAAATTGAAATTGGTCCGAAAATTCCTTAGATTTCCTTGGATAACCAATCCCATTAATACTCGATTGTCATTGATTTATAATTTGTAACTGGCCATCGGGTGCTGTTTCAGATCTAAAACTAAAATAAACACAATTTAACCCATTTGTTATTATTAGCTAACCGAAATCTTTCGTATTTTATCCATTTTCAATTGACTCTTTGTTTTTATTTATTTTTCGTTTATTGTTTTTTTCGAACAGCAACAGAAAACCAATCATCTGTAGAGCCGCGGATGCACTGGTTACATTTTGAGATTCGCATCGTTCACTTGTAGTTAAACCAATGGCAATAAACAATCCGGTTGTTGTTCAGCTTAAGAACTCCAGATCCTGGGCACATACTATCAGATCATGTTTTAAATACGTACTCACCTGCTAACCCTTCTCCTTCAGACCGATGTCTAGCCGTCATCACTCACCATCTTTCATCTATATATTTGCAGACACATTGGGAGAGCCAGAACATGGCTAGAAGGGCGCAATGCTGCGAGATATCATAGTAGCAGAAGCCAGTGCTAGAATAGTGAAGGTTCCTTCCACAAATCAAAGCACCTCACCCTAGTCAAGATGTCTCGAGCCGCACGAGAGAATTGTATTTTAGTAATTACGTTGTACATACACACTCACAAATAACACTTAAAATGGACTTGGTACTATGAAAAGGCTGTCTCCTTTCACCTGGTGAAGTGACAAGAAAACTGGTTCGCCAAAGCGAATTGCCAATAAAGTTATTTAATGCTCTTAACTTTAATAAAAAAAAACTTAATAATAAACCGGGGCCATCCATTAAATTTTTACTTAATTTATGTAGTTACATAAAGTATTTTTAAAATTCATTTTGTATTTTTTAAATATTTTGACCAGTGTTGTAAAGTGCTAAGGCTTTTTTGGTGTTTTTAAAACCACTATTTAAGCTTTGATTAAGGACAGCTTTGACAATCGATAAATAAAATGGGCGCCAAAATATTTAAAATAGTTAATAAATAAAAAAAAAATACATTTCTAAAGTCGAATAAAAATATAAAGGTTTGTATAAATTTAAATATTTATAAATGGTTTTAAAAAATAAATAAATTTAAAGTTTTACTTTTATTTATAAACAAATTTTTAAAATTTAGAAACAAACACTTGTTGCTTAAGGTATAAGTTGTTATTTTTTATTTCTTAATAAAAAATGTATCCATTTAGCCTAAATAAATTCTGTTTATTGCATACAAGATCCATCAAAAGTAATGTGTGACGAATCGTTAAAATATCGGACGGAACACAAGCCGTTGGGCTGCCGGAATTGAGCGGTCAGTTGATTTCACGCCGCCGCCGAGAGTGGACGCGGTTTTCGCCAGTGCTTCTGCAGCTTAAAATTCGCGTCGCCTTATCCTCGTTGCCGGGAATATTATTGAATCGCAATCCCCAAAGCCAATGTAAGAAGTGAAAGCGAAAAATCAATCTAAAACATATATATGCGTAAATGCATATGCATATGCCAAACAAATCAATTTCGCAATATTTTCAAAGTACTTAAATTAGGGCGAAATATATGTGGTTTCGTGTGTGGCGCTTTGTTTTGGGTTCTGACTCTATACACAAAGGAGACGAAGGCTACTACATTGTGTTTTTGTGCTTGCTATTCAACAAAGCCGCTGGAACAGAACAAAATTCTACAATCTAAAAATGCACTTGCATCAAATTATGTACTGCGAAAAATTGAATTCGAATTATAAATAAAATTAGCTACTTGGAGTGCTTGTCTTATCATTATTAAAAAAAGAAAATTCTTGCATATTGAAGATAATGAAATAATTAAAAAAAAACAATTGCTTGCAGAAGAACATAGAAACCAGGAAACCATTATATTATAATAGTTTACTAGTCGGCAGACATTTCGTGTTTGAAACTCTCGTGCAGCCACATTAATCAACTGGAAAATATTCAATGTTGCTAATAGCTCATCTTTATTAAATAATCCCTATCAATAATTGAATTGCAAATTAAACGAAAGTGCATATTCTTTACACACCTGAGCTGTGAACCATTATTTTAATAGAGCTTTTTTTACATACATGTGTATGTACGAATGTTGGTTATGAAGAATGATCCAACCCATTGATTTTCTGTCACTAACCTATGACTTTTGTGGGTAATATACTGTAAACAAGTGATTAACTACATGTTCTCCATATCCGATCCCTTTGTTCAATTTTTTTATGAACAACTTAGCGACAGCCGCCAGTTAAAGTTTTATGGATTGCACTTGCACGTGACAAGAATTGATGGCTTAAATGCACCGCCAGTCACTTTCAGACCAAAATTAAACAGTTCTAAAAAAAGCTATAAACTAAGTAGTTTAAATATAAGCTGGTTTATTGTGACATTAGTAAAATTGTAGAATATATAAAATAATATGTGAATATAATGTTTGCCAATTATCTTCTGAATTCCAGTTTATAATCTAAATTTATGCAAATTTTAGACATTATTTTTTTTTGACAGAACGTCATACATTGACGGGGAATTTTCGGGTTAACCCAGCCATTGAGTTTATATTTAATTCGCAAAAAAAAAGAAGGTAAATGATTAGTTATATGTCTGAAATAATTGATTTACTCGAGTCCAAATTGCCGGTTGAGAATAAGCTGATTTTTCGTTATGCTAAACTGGTCGGTTCGGGTCAAGAGTTTAGCTTAATTGTTGTGCTTCTGTTGCCACCTGACGTCACGAAAAAAAAAGCATGAGAATGGAAAATAAATCTGACAGAAAACGAAAAAATTAACATAAGTCGCTGGCTGAAGCATGCCTGCCAGATTGGCATGCATATTTAAGCTTTCAATTAGCCAATCTATTATCAACACAATGCTCATTTCCTTATTGCGATTTGATGCGTCGAGCAACACGAACTCTCGGATGCATTTGTATCTTTCAATCTTCCCGTTCGCACTTGCAAAAAAAAAATAAAACTAAAACGAAGCTGAAGGGTTTCTTTTTCAGAACCAAGAACGGGTTTTTTTCAGTCTCGCCATCAGGCGCCAGGTGACTTCAAATAATCAGACGACGCCAATAACATTAAAAAAAGCAAATATAATACGCTTTCAAAGCGTGTTTACTTGCATAATTTTGGGAACAGTTAAGGTATTTCGAATATATTAAAAATAAAACATGTATTTTTGTTTACATTTGTAAGCACTTAAGGACCCAAGTCCAAAGTCTATGTATGATTCATGAAAGAATCTCGGGGCTCATGCAGTTCGTATCTTTCAAGTCGGAAATGCTTTAATAAAATTAAATCGTCAAAACATTGTTTCAAGTTGAGTGCAAGTTATAAGCTAGCGTTTAATGTAATAGCCTGTGGGTGAAACGAACGACCCGCAATTTTGATGACGAAAACGTGACGATAAATCTGTGATATGAAAAAAAAGCAACAAAAAATCATGACAGACAGTCCCCGTCTGTTAATGTTTGTATTTTTCAGACTCGTTAGTGGTTGATTAGCATTAAATGAGCCGGAATTTTGGATTTTAGTATTATGTTTCGTAGGTATTTTCTAGTCGCAACAATCCTAGTCGGTCGTTTAGTTTTTTATTACCCTTTTTTTTTATCCATATCCAGGAGTCCCTCAAAGTCAGGCAACGGAAAGTTTTTTAGCTGCACACTCGCACGTTCCTGTGGCTGATTTTTTACGATGGTATCTTGAGGCAAATGGGTTTTATTTTTACGTTTTAGGTATCTTTGTGCAGTCAGATAATCAGGTGTATATCCAGAACCAAGCAAGTTCTTTCCAGACCTACAGAAAAACTACTTTGTGTACATAGTTGGTAAACAAGTTATTGAAAATAAAGTGCATGATGGATTTAAATGATAAACTAAGACTCAAAATTGAATATAAATAATAGTCTTCTATAAGTGCCTTAAAGCTTGTTCTATAATATTTTCAAGCCTCTCTATATTAGGTTTAAGATCAGCTACCATCATTTTATGATTAATAATTTTACACGTTCTTGGTATGTTCCAGTTCATTGACTTGCTCAATAATGGGCTAATAAAAATGCAAAAGCCATTCATTTCAAACAGCTGTTCTTAATAACAAAAGCTCACACGTTTAGACATTAAGTATACAAATAATAATATATACATATATATATTACTTTTTACTTAATGAAGTCGTTTGGGGTCGAAATTAAAGTCAAATTAAAAGGGCATATATAAATGAAGTTTTTTTTGAGAATTTATAACACAGTTTTCATAAAAAAGCTCGATTAAATGCATGCAGTATTTCAAGTATTAATGCTCTTTAAAATTCTTATCAATTCATATATGCAAAGGTATGGAATTCAAGGCCAGAGCAAGATAATCCGAAAATTGTTGATAAATGGTATTGAATTTTTTGTTTTTTTTTTTAATTCCCTTGGCCACGTTTCTTTCTCTCCCACACATGTCAAAATCCATAATGATTAATTTTTATTTTCAGCGCGTCGTCGACGAAGAAGTCAGCGCGATCAAAACAAAACGGGTAATATATCTGCAATCACACGCCATGCGTTTGTGTAGATTGTAACAAAAACAAAAAACCCACAACAATATTCGAGAGAAAAACAAAAAAATAACTGAATAAAAAATATATAAATAAATAACAGCAACCACCCCATTCCAATTCCGACTTTGGTGCGGTAGGTAATGACACATTCGGAAAGCGGGGCACGTATTTAGATGCGAATGAGCATAAGTATCTCTAGAACCGACTCGAGTCCCACCCATCCAGACCCGCTCCGCCACCAACGACGCCCATTAGAATATAGTAATATATGAGCTTTTGAGAGTGGCATTAAATAACGATAAACCGAACCATTCCAAATCCGTCATGGAGCAGTCAAGGAATCTTCTATCAAAACAATCCAAAGATGTGGAGTTTCAAGACGTCTTCTACACTGTTAAGGAACGCAAAAACTTTTGTAAGTTTACGTAATTTTTTATATCTTAAATAAGCATGCAATTATATTGAAATGGGTCCAGTTTTTTTTTTTAAATTGCAACTCTACTTTGTCGATTTCATAAGTAATAGTTATTGGCCATTTGTAAGCCCTTTTAAGATTCTCTGAATATATTAGTGGTGCTTGTTGAGTACTTTAATTATTATTTAAACCACACGTTTCTCAACAGTTTTATTAGATAAGTATTTTAAATAATCAAGTTATTTTGTGGGTTAATTTCCTTATAAACATTTACAAATGCATTTTAATATTTTGATAACCAAGTCCTTCACGGGTCCATTGCTTAATACATGTGTCTGCAAAAACCAAATATGTATTTTTTTTATGAAATGTGTTTCAGTGGCGGAGGTTTTATTTGCACTCCAATACCTCAAAGTTGACTTTGGCTGTTTGGCTTCCACCATATGTGGTATGTGGCTTTATGTGCTCTGTGCAATGTTTCCTCGCCGTCCGAAAGGTATAATGGCCAAGTCGCTGGCTGGTCAAGCGCTAACTACTCCATAATTATGGGGCCAAAACAGCAAAACGATGTTTTGACCTTTTTCTTTTATATTTCTAATGTGTCAATTGCAAAACTTGTTACGTTTTTTTGTGAAGTATGAAGCACAATAAAAATAAAGCTTGATACACCCAGTTGAAATAAATTTTACGTTCTGGTCCACGTTTATGGCCATAACCTTTGCCACTTCAAAAGAGACAAGAAACTACTTTTGACAGTGCCGGGCCTTGTTTGACCAAAAACCTCAAAGGTGTGTACGGCTGGAGTCCGGCACGGATTTTTTTTGCCATGAACGCTATTGACACAGAATCGATCGAATGGTGTATGTAATTGGAAGTGAATTGGATAATGCAATGCATTAGTGCAGAGAGTCAAGTTTACTCTAGGCTTTAGAGTAGTTCAATTAAAAGACTAAATTCAAACTGAAAAGTGTCCATTTAGGTAATAGAACCATCTCGAAGTAGAACTATCTAGCATTAATCATAAATCCAAGGTATGGTTTTGAAACAATTTTTTTAGAAAGTATATCATGGAAGTTGATTATTTAGATATGCCCTGGCCCTGAAATGCAGTCGTGCTTTGTAGGCTGTTAGATTTTAAAGGAATTTCATTCGTAGTCTGTTAAATGGGCTGGAACTGTTTACGAAATGTATTCACAAGCAACTCTACTTCAGCCATAGACCAAACGAACGAACTTCCTCATTCAAAACTCAAGTACGCCTGATGATTAATTATTGCTCATACGCCATGTGCAACGTGCAACTCGCAGCAGAGCGCGAGATGTCGCCAAATGTGGTCGCCATGTGGAATACAATAATGAATGATAAACACGAAAATGCAATCGAGACAGTGAGTGACATAAATATATGCACAAAATATATATTTATTCATTTATTTAGAGCTATTGAAACTCTATTTACTTCACACCCTAAATACGTTTAGTTTACACAGTTGCTGGTTATTGTTAAAATTGTATACTTATAGTCGCAGTAAGCACTGTACGAATAAATATGCTTATGTGGACAAATAAGTATGTGCTTAATATTTTGTGTACACTTTTATCTCCAAACACACATATGTACATTTATGCACATTGCGACTTCCTCGATTTGCCCCGCATCAATGGAAACTACTGTGGTGGTTTGGTGCGGTTTAGTGGCAGCGACAAAAACATCACCAACTAGCTAACCTCATTATCATCATCAACATCATCATCATGATCGGCAGCAGCAGCAACAGCGACTAAAAAAGTAGCAGCAACAATTGCAACTACAACAGCTACAATATTATGTTGGCGGAGAGTGAAAAGCGAAAATTGCCCAACATTGATTGAATAATTTTCCCCTCCAAAAACTCGACGGTGTTCAGACACGTTTTCTACAATTTTTTTTTTTTTCAATTTAAAGTACCCCCTTTGAATTCCCTGGGGGCACTATCGGGATTAGTCAGCCAGCCAATGTCCGGGTTTTATCCCACACTAAGGGGCAAGACTCAACTTTAAAATGGTATGCACGTTGGAGCAGCTTGATTTCTGAGTTCAATGCAGGGACTTTGAGACAGTGATCTCAGGAAAAGATGAATAATACATACTTATCTGCCAATTGTTTATAATTAATGGCTGACAAATCTGGAAGCTACTCATCAAAACAAATAGTTTATAGACCTATTGATCTATTTTATAAAAAGGGTATGATTATTGGGGGCATTGATTAGTCCGGGGATATAAAAATGGTTTTTTATTATACATCTTTTCAACCTATACCTCGACTAGAGCCTCTATTTTCAAGGCTAGACTTTTTAAAATCTTACTAAATAGATTCCAATTTTATTAACATTTCTATTTAGAATTTATAATTTTTTAAATGAAACGTTTTAACGTTTTAAACGTTGCTTAGATAACTTTTTATTTTGTGATAGTTATAGTTATAGATTGCCTCCCAAGCTACTTTTTCTTAAAACTCTTCAAGTAAATGATTCCTAATCAGGAAATCCAGTTTTGTGTTTTAATTTTTTACTGCAAACCAAAAGCATCTGATTTTGTAATGAAATTAAAAAATTATAAAATTAAGATTACCTTTCATTACCTTTCAACAATACGTCGTTTTAGAGTCAAAGATTTGTTTTGCCAATTAAAAATTACAATTAAGACGCAAAAAGATTATTTCTTGATGAGATGTGAAGCTTTATTGTTTTAACATGAAAGGTGTAAATTTTCGCACCTTTTAATTAGGTTTATTCTATAAAGATCATCGAGTTTTTAAGTTTTTTAATCATGTTCTGTATTATCTTCTGGGTGGTAATATTACAAAAAGCAACTGAGATGGTCACGCCTCAGTATGTGATCCACGTAGAATCGTGGGAGAAGTCATCCATCAAACACGGCTCATTGTTGAAAAGTTGGTTCGATAACCTGGCCAAAACCAACGTACCACTGATTGTTTGTCGATTGTTTTGCTGACAATTTATGTTTTTTTTTTATTTTTGGCGTTGCGCGTGCTCAGAACGTGGTGTTCGGAAGACTTTAAAGTTTGTAAAATGGCCAGGCTAATTGATATGTAGCTGGGTAGCTAACAAACTTTGCTTTGGTTGTGAAATGAATGTTAATTGGGTGCTGTGTGGGCTGTAAGAACTAGGTCAGCGAATGCAGGTCAACAAAATATACACAATTTAATAGAAAAATGTACAAGGAACTTGTTCAGAAAAGCTTAGATTTGCACTCATGTATGTAGATTGGCGAAATAATCTATTTGATGCGCTCTTATCAATGTCAGTCAATGTTCATGAATTATGTACATATGTACATATGTGGGTTCAGACGGGCAATTGGCCTTGAAAATTTTGTAAGTGAACCTCTAGATAACCCAATGTCTTTGCCACCAGGCGGATGTGTTGTCTAGGTTGAACTCTTCTGACTTGACAGCAACTAAACAAATAATTTCAGTTTCTAGTTTTTAATTTGCGAACAAAGTACTGTTCAATAAAATTATTAAATCATCCGTCTGGTAGAAAAAGCAAAAAAAAAAATCACAGGAATCAATTATTGCACGAGACCTTCGGGCCGTTCAAAGTGGTGCTGATCACAGCTGCACAACTGATAAGAGCGGTGGTGGTGGCATTGACACATATATTTACTCATTTGCACATTGAGACTCTACAGTTTGCCGCCCATTCAGAATGCAGGTCAGGTTCGATCTTGGTATAGTCAAAAATAAACAAAAAAATAGTATTCCCTGGAAAAAAACAAGCATGTTTTCGACTATTTTTGTCAAATTTTTCCACCCCATTTGAATACGAATAAATTACACACGTGGGATATGATAGGGTTTCCGGTGTGGTTCAGGTGTTGGGGCCAGACACTTTGGAAGCTGGTTTCTGGCAAAAACGCCGAGTCATGCAATCTTCTCCAGACCATCAATTGCTGCCGGCGAACTATTTTTCGCTGCCCCAGCATGACACTATAATTATTTTTTTCTAGGGAAACAAAAATCTACATGTATGATAATAGTTACTTTTCCTTAAAATAAAAACCAATGAAAAGTGAACTTACTTTTATGTATAAAAAAATTATGTAAAACTAGATTAAAATTAATGAGATTGCCAATCTACAAAAATCAGCTTATATAACCAGTTAGTAAACAAAAATTTGTATACGTCAATAGAAGAATATATTATTTTCAGATGTTTATTTTTTAATGAATCACACATTTGCTTTTATTTTGTTGAAAGTATTTAGCATATTTATTTATGATTAAATTATTTTTTAGTTCGCGTCACCGGAGAACGTCAAATACTGAAGGGAGTCAGCGGCAGTTTCCGGAATGGTCAGCTCTCGGCCATCATGGGGCCCTCGGGAGCCGGAAAAAGCAGTTTACTGAATGCGATTTCGGGATTCAGGTGAGCAAATCAAATCCAAAAACCTGATTCGACTGCATTGAAGTCATTCCAACTTCGGAGTGTAACAAAAACAAAAGAAGGCCTCTAAAAAAACACTTCAATAAAAAAGAACAATTCTTATAACATTTTAGCGGAAAAAAAAAACATTGAACCGGTTTCGTTCTCACCCGCTGACGAAATGCGAAGTGTCAGATGTATTCTGAAAGGTATTCAAAATCAGCTAAGGTTCTGAAACGTAACAAGCTTCATCTTTAAAGTTTTTCTGACAATAATACCTCTACAAAAAATGAGACACAATAGGTTTTTGGAAATTTACCAATTTTTAAATAGAGTGGCAAGTCATTAGGCCACAGATCATTGTAGAAGTAATGGTATTGTTATAGGATTTGATTATTTTTGGATCATTTATTTATAAAATGTATATATCACATCTTAATTTCAGGAGGGAAGGGGTAACTGGAAGCATCAAGATTAAGCGGGACAATGCCTGCTATATAACGCAGGACGACCACCACCAGACGCTCCTTACTGTTGAAGAGCTGATGAACCTGGCCGCCGATCTTAAGCTAAAGCATCGCCACAAAAAGGCCGAAGTCGTTAATGATATTCTAGAGAATCTTCATCTTAACCACAGACGCAATGTTACTGCGGAGAAACTGAGTGGAGGAGAGAGGAAACGACTCTCGATTGCTCTGGAATTGGTCGACAATCCCAATATATTCTTTTTGGATGAACCGACCAGCGGCCTGGACGAAGTGACGGCGGCCCAGTGCATCCGAATGCTGAGGGAAATGGCCCACGAAGGACGCACCATTGTCTGTACCATCCACCAGCCCTCGGCCACCATATATAACTACTTCGATAGCATCTATGTCCTGGCCAAGGGTCACTGCGTCTACCAGGGCAGTCCAAAGGCTACCATTCCCTTCCTGCGTCTGGCCAGGCTTGACTGCCCAAGGCACTACAGTCCCTCGGATTACAGTAAGTCACATACACAGTTTTATGGAGTACCTCAATCTCTAACCCAAATTTAAATAGTCATAGAGCTGGTGGACGCCGAGGAGGGGCATTTGGTGCCGACTCTCAGTGAGCTAACCGAGAATGGCAAGCTCATCTATTTGGCCACCCAATCGGATTATTTGGAGGCACCTCTGGAGTCGCAGCAAGCGGTCACCACTATGTTCGTGGAGCAGCCGAAGCGTCCGTTCCTGCCCGCCTTCTTTGCCGGAAGTGCCGCCTCCACGGACGGTACTCTGATCGGTGGCACAAGTGCCTTATTGGAGCAGGTGAAGGCCTTTTCGCGACGTCTTCACACAAATCGACGCGGCATTTCCGGAGTGCGGCAGTTTGTGGTCCTGATGCGGGTGATGCTCCTGCGGATAATGCGAGCTCGTCTGGCCCTGACCATCCAGTTCTTCCATCACCTGGTTTGCGGCCTGTTCTTTGGCATGATCTTCTTCAAGCTGGGAAACCAGGGAAGCCGCATGTTCGATCATCTCAAGTTCTGCATCGGTGCGGTTCTCATGATCGTCTATACCCAGGTGATGGTGCCTATTCTGAGCTGTAAGTCCTCTAAAGATTATAGGGTTTAAGTTTCTAACAGTATTACTTTCTATTCAGATCCCGCTGAGGTTAAGGTGGTCAAGAAGGAGACCTTTAATCGCTGGTACACGCTTACTCCCTACTACATGGCTCTGACTGTGTCCCGGTTGCCGGTGCAAGTCTTTCTAAACATCACCTTCATGGCGATCACGTACTGGATGTCCGGACTGCCGGAACAGCTCTGGCGCTTTGGTATCTTTGTGGCTGTCGGCCTGATGATCTCCCTGGTGGCGGAGGGCATGGGCCTGGCCATTGGAGCCACATTCAGTATAACGGTGAGTGGCAGAGCACACCTGGTAATGCATACTTTTTGGCTAAATTGGATTATTATTTCCCAACAGAATGGCAGTGTGGTGGGTCCAATGATTATAGCTCCTCTGATGGGTCTGGCGGTGTATGGTTTCGATTTTGCGCCACAGATCACCGGCGGCATGCAGATCCTGATGAAGTTCAGCTACATCCGGGTGGGCGTGGTGTCGCTGGTTTTGACCGTTTTCGGATTCCAGCGCGAAGAGCTGGACTGCGACGATATCTACTGCCATTTCAGTGATCCCCGAGTGCTTCTCAAATTCCTGGACGTGGAAAAGGTGTCCATGCTGCATCAGTTTGGTCTGCTGGCCATGCTGATGCTCTTCTTCCGGGTGATAATGTACCTCAGCCTTCGGAAACGCTGCTACACATGAGCAGCATCTGGGCCACGGACGCCCCAAATGAATCTTACTCTCCATAGTTGTAGGCAATGCTGTGATGTTCTATTTTTTATCAGACATATGTATGGATACTCCCCATGTACATAAGCATCATTCCCCTGACAGGACAGGATCGTTAAAATAGATCTAAGGCTAGGATCTAAGTTAGGACTAAGTTCAAGGCACACACCATCAACGAGCTCCAATCCAGGACATATCAAAGCATCCGTTTCGGAAACAAAGGTTTTTAAGAGAAAAGTATTAAAAAATGAAAAAGGCGAAATGGATTCGATAGTGTTCCATAAGGAGACAGCACAGTTTATAAGGTTTTCGTGGTAAAAGTGATTTAATTTCGAATTTTGAAAAAAATAAAGTCGAGTCTCGTCTATTCGAGCTTTTCTGTTGTGTAATTTTTTATGGCTATCAGCAGCTCATAGTACTGGTACTTCCGCCAGTTGATCTTGTCGTAGGCACTCTCCATTAGATCGCCTATATGGTTCAGCATCGATTCGGAGAGCTTTTCGCGGAAAAGCCCCTCCAACTCGGCGAGTTCATCGTTCGAGGTGACTGTTTCAACAAATGGTTTCAAAATGGAAAATATGGATTGGCTGTTGAATCTGTAAGATAAAAAAAATTATAAACCAATAGATTGGATTCACTGGCATATTCTATTCACCGTCGCACGATTTGGTCCATGTTTTTCATGAGGAACTGCTTGCCGACATAGTAGCCGAGATATCCTTTCAGCACACTGGTGAGGAGCCCAACAGTTAGGGAACGAGGCACCATTTTTCGATCCAGGGCCCATAGCAGCAATTTCCTCAGAGCCCAGTACTCGGTGCTACAGCTCAAGGCATGAAGCAAGACCCGTTTTTCGGTCTCCTCCTGCGACTTCTTGTACATGTCCCGCACCACCACCCAGAACTCCTCGACGCCGTGCCGGATGCCTATGCAAAGCACCGTATCCCGGAGGCCCTCGGGTATGACGTCCGTGGATGCTTTATCCATTGCCTGGCTAAACTTTATCAGGGCATCTGCCATGCACTCATGGATGTCGAACTGACATGCCAGCCGGTAGAGCATTGCTCCCAGGGAACTCACCGAGCCTGCTCCGTCAGTGTGCTTCGAGTCTGCTCCGTCAGTCGGCTTCGAGTCTGCTCCGTCGGTAGGCTTTGAGTCTGCTCCGTCAGTGGGCTTTGAGTCTGCTCCATTGGTGGGCTTCGAGTTTGCTCCGTCGGTTGGCTTCGAGTCTGCACCATTGGTGGGCTTCGAGTTTGCTCCTTCGGTGGGCTTCGAATCTGTTCCGTCAGTGGGCTTCGAATCTGTTCCCTCAGTGGGCTTCGAGCCTGCTCCGTGAGTAGGCTTCGAGTCTGCTCCGTCAGTGGGCTTCGAGCCTGCTCCGTGAGTAGGCTTCGAGTCTTCTCCGACAGTGTGCTGGGAGTCTGCTCCGTGAGTAGGCTTCGCGTCTTCTGCGCGAGCTTTAAGCATCATCATTTTAGACATCATGTTTTTTTTTGGTGGTGATGACATGGTTTTCAGTATTTCCTTAAACGGTGGACCCACCAACTGTTTCATGTACAACTAAAAAGAAAAATTCTATTGGAATCAGCATTGCATATAAAGTCCGCCGTATCCCACCTTAAAGATGCGGTAGCCTGTGGTCAGGTACATAATACTCTGTAGTTTCTCTAGACTTGATACGGCCGTCTGCCAGACCAGGTGGCTTGTCTCGTTCCGAAGATACCGCATCAGATCTAGGGTGACACTATACGGCAGGTAACCGGCCCACGATAAATGGAGGGCATCGTCCAAAAGGGCGGCCCGACTCACCTCCGGCACCTGGGTAAAGTTCTCCCGCAGGGCCTTGGCGAGAAGGCGCCAGTTCCGCAGGTCGTAAAAAATGCGTATAGGCGCCGCCACCTCGGCATTAACCAGGATCCATTCATCCGGCTCGATTACGTGCCGCAATTCCAGCGTTTTCAGCTCGGGGTTGTTGGTATGGCAGCCCAGCCACTCGGTCTGAGCCTGGGGATGCGTCTTGGTTATATAGATGATTGGTAGCCACCAGCAAGACTTCGACTCGATGGCCATGCCCGTTGTCTGGATGTAGCGTTGCTGTTTGAGGGTCACCGAACTATTGATGTCGTCGCGGAGCACGGTTATCAGGGGGAAGCCGGGCTGGTCAAACCACGAGTTCATTACCGTGGCCAGTTCAAGGCTGAGGGGCAGGCGGAGTGCCCGTCGGCCAGCCTGCTGAAACTCCTGCCACAAGAGGTTGGGTCCCACAGTCATGTTAGCATAGCGCTTAACAAAGCTCTTGATTCCGCCGTAGAAGATCTTCTCGCCAAGGGCCATGCACAGCATGTGGGTGAGCAGACACATCTTGGAATTCCGCAGGTTTCGGTGGGCGGGGCCTCGCAGATGCGCCGCCACCTCCCTCGACTGAGGCAGGGAGTCCTGTTCCATTACTCTCAAGCGGACGCTTAACAGGCGCGACATGTTGTGGCTTACGTCTTGGTGACCCATGGACGCCACCTGGATGGCCAGGTAGTAGTTAATACCATTCCGCACCCATGCTAAGCTCAAGTCACCGAGGCTCACCAGTCGACCATGCCACTGGCGCACCACCAACGCCGCCAGACTCTCGTGAAGGATCTCCTTCGATGCGTTGCTCGGGCCCAGGTCGTACTCCCCTATCACCAGCAGGCCCATGCTGCTCCTCTGATCCGAGTACTCCGGCAGAACCACGACATCAAACTTTCCGCTCTTGCCAGAGAATAGAGGCTGGCCGAACAGGGTCTCCGAGTCGCTTAATAATTTCGGTGTCACCGCCATCACAAAATCCAGTCGATCCTTTACTATTGGACGTGACCAAATGCTGATATTTACACCCATGGTGCCATTGGTGGTGGTGTTTAATAGGTTCTCCATTGAGTGCAGTGTCCACATCATCATGTGCGTGGGTAGCGGTGGTGTGTCCTCGAAGATGGTCACTTCGAAGTCCTCGATAGATGGGCTGTACGAAGACAAGAGAAATAAGGATGACTAGAATATAGTCTTATGGTCATAAATCATACTGAGCCTTCTTCTCCGCAACGGGCATGTTGCTCAGGGCCACATATTGCTTGTGATGGTGCATTCGTAGATGCAACTTGGTCCGCAAATGGGGAAGATCGAAGCAGGGAAACACGTAGCGGGCGTAGGCCGGTTCCATGTGCGTAAGGGCATAGAAATGGGGCACTGGTGTGTTGTAGCGAACCGAAAAGTATCCAAACTTCTGAGGCTTGTTCAGAGCCCCCTGAAAGTAGATGTAAAGCGTGTAGGTCTCGCCCAGCCAGAGTGTGTGCGTAAAGACGATGATCAGCTCGTCGGCTGAGGGCTTATTTTTACTCCGAGTAGCCTTGACCACAGAAATCCGACGACCAGTGTACTTTCGAAGCAACCACGTTTTATGCACGACCAAGTTCAATTCGGTGGAGAATATCGTTAACTGTTTGGTGGAGTTCTTCACCGCCAAATCGATGGCCACGAATCCTTCGTATCGGTTCTGCGCCGATCCGCCTTCCATGCGGGTGAGGATAGTGAGATTGTAGTAGATGGGTTCCACATTGTCGTCCGCTACTCCACTCGCAAGAGAATGAACTAAAGCGATCAACAAAAGGCCCAACATTTCTATTCGAGACGCAAACACCAACTGGACAAGTTCTCAGCTTGTTTAATTTGAGAATGAATCTGGTAATGGCCAATTTTACGCTTAAAGGGTGTTCCAAGGATCGACAATTTTATCGGTTTTACTTTCAGCAATAAATATACATTTTTTACACTTTACAAATACAATTATCCTACTTTTCATGGGATGTGGCCAAAAGTATATTATATAAAATAATTTCTCTAAAAAATTTAAACTTAATCATAGTTAATTCAAAAAGCTTTTAATTTTTCGTGCTTCCCATTTTCTCCTTCCGTTTTTTAACATGCTTTTTCACCTTAACCTTGCGCTGCTCTGCCTTGGCATCTTTAACGGCCTTCTTACGAGCCTTTTTACTCTCCGGCGACTCGTCCCGGGGTCGAGCCGAATTCTTAAACCGTGACCCATCTTCCTCATTTTCGTCTTCATCTTGGGAGTCCTCTACTTCGTCACCATCATCACTGCCTTCTGGCTGTGACACTTCCTTGGGTTCTAAAACATCGGGCTGCTTTTGGACATCTAGATCCGATTTAAGTCCGGTGATCTTGCCGTAAATGAGATTTTGTTGCACCCCCTGCTTGGCCTTAGCTACATCTCTCTCGAAATGATGAACCTTAAATTATAAATATTTTTAGTAATATAAAATTAATTAAAAATATATTTGATTATACCTCATCTAACCGCTTTGGAATATAGGTGTTTTGCCAAACGGCCTCGTCAATCTGCTCCTGCGCCGTAATGGCATCAAAGTCCCTGTCCTTTATCCGTTCCGAGATGCGTTCCAGGCACTCTTCCATATTCGACTCGGTGATGGTTTGGTCCGTTATAAAGTCAAACAGCTCCTTTACGGTCATTGTGGCCACCGCTTTCTTGCGGAAGAATTCCGAAATATTGGTGCAATCCTTGCGAAGGAAATCGAACGAGTGCGGATGGTCATGCTCGACAGCCTGACTGACGTCGATAATTACCAACTGCCCGTCCTGTAGCAAGATATTGAACTCGGAAAGATCGGCGTGCACCAAACGGCACTGATTGTAAATACGCCACATTATAACAACACAGTCGCGGTACAGCTCGCGCGCTTTGGATGTGCTCACTTCAACGTCCTTCAGCTTGGGTGCCGGCCAGCCATCCTTACCACAGAAGCGCATGACCAAGACGTGCGAACGCAATAGAATCGGCTCCGGAACGGGGACACCGGCGTTCCGCATGCGCAAATAGTTTCGCATCTCCTTTTCCGCCCAGGTGCGCACCATCTTGCGCGGATTGTGCTTGCAGTAGCCGTGCCGAAACCTAAACTCTCCGGACACATACTTGTCGCGGTCCTTGAATACCAAAATAGAGGTCTTGTAGATTTTAATGGCGAATTCGTCGTTTCCGTCCTTGGAAACGGCATGATAGACATTTGCCTCTTTTCCTGTCGAGATGCAGCCGTTGATCTCCTGAATCATGCCGCGATTGAGTAGCTTGAATAGGATCATACGCGTCCTCGGATCCATCACCTGCTCAGCTGTGGCTCGGTCGTGTTTGTCACGAACCTGCGTTCTTTCCCGCCGATCGAAGTTCACTAGCCTGTTGGCCGCCTGGGCACTCATATTCGTGGTCGGATCGTACTTCTCCACATTGATGCGAGCGGAATACCGACGGAGAAGCTTCTCATTAGGCTGATAGCTGCTCACACGTTGCGGTCCCGCTCCAGAGCCGCTGCCGGATCCTCCTCTGCCTGCTGCGCTGGTTGTTATCTGGGGCTGGACGTTCATTTTGTTGAAGCCAGTGTAGGACTCTTCGTACGCATCATAGTCATCGCCTTCCTCGTAGTCATCCTCCTCGTAATCATATCCTGCATTTTCGTCCTCATCCTCACCATCGCTGATGGCCTTAAGAACTTCAACAAGGTCGTCGCTGGCTTCTTTGGCAGTTAGTTTAATATCCTTAAAGATTTCATGCTTCACCGTAAGCGATTTAAAATCGTTTACCCACTCCGACTATAGAATTTACCAAATAATTTGAAATTAAAAAACTTGTATGAAATTTTAAATAATTTCTTACATTACGCAGGTCGTCTTCGTCCTCCTCGGCGTCACTGAACTTGTGCGGATCGTCGCTCATCATATAACATGCAGGAAATCAGCAGTTCTATTATATTTATAATGCAAAAGCTCTGGATATATTTCACAAAATCGGTTTCAAAGTTTTACACAATTAAACGAATTGCACGTGTTGAGGTTTGTTTTGGTATTTTCCAGGGATACCGATTGCCAGAAGGTGACTATCGATAGTCGAGTCTAAAGCATATGGGCATATCGTTACTGCCACCGATAGCTCTTCAGCCCTGAACACATGGTGTTTATGTGTTTTGAAAATGAACTAAGATATCAAACTACTTTGAGCAATGTTTGTCCTTGCCGAGCTAAAGGATAACGTGCGAATCGCGCCAGACCAGTTCAATCTCCAGCTGGTAGACGCCGTGCGCGATGAGATCGACCGCAAGCTGGCCAATAAGGTGGGTTTAAATTTTTTGAGCAACATGTTTAACATCTAATTGTTTACACCTGGTTTCCTTCAAGGTTCTTCTCAATGTAGGCCTGTGCATTGCACTTAAAGAGATTGTTTCTTTAAAAGACTCTATCATCCTGCCCGGTGATGGGGCTTCGCACACAGAGGTCCTCTTCCGTTACGTCGTCTTTAGGCCGATGGTGGGCACTGTGTTAACCGGCAAAATACGGAACTGCAGCCGAGAAGGCGTCCATGTAACTCTGGGATTTTTCGATGACATTCTTATTCCACATGCCGCCTTACAGCATCCCTCGCGATTTGACGAGGCGGAGCAGGCATGGGTGTGGGAGTATCCGCTGGAGGACGGTGCCAAGCACGATCTTTTTATGGATGTAGGCGAGCCAATTAAGTTCCGCGTCTCAAGGGAGATATTCGAGGAGACGTCGCCTATCGGGCCGCCCAAGGCGGAGACCCAGTCACAACAGGGAGCCAGCACTTCCTCGGCTACAGCATCCACTACGTCTCAAGAGGTCAAAACCCCATATAAAATTATTGTGAGTTGGCTTTCCCCTAAATTATTTGAAATTACATTTATATTCCGATGTCTAGGGCGCCATTAATGAATCCGGCTTGGGTGTACTCTCCTGGTGGGATCAGCAGGGCAAAGAAGAAGATCAGGAAGATGAGGAAGGCGAGGACAACATAGATTATGAAAACGACGAAGATGGAGAAGGTGCGTGCGAGGAATGATATTTTAGGATATTCTTGAACCATAGAATACCAATTCTTTAAACGAATAAGTGTTGGCAAAGGAGGGTTAGCATGCATAACGCATACTTTTTTAAGTTAATATAAGCAATAAAGAAATATCAATAAATACCGCAATTACTCGACTTTTATTATATTGTTACATTGAAAGGTGTGTACATATATGTAAAGTTGGACCAATGATATCCAACAAATTTTAATTTCTTTTGATCATTTTTAATCTAAGAGTTCATTTTTGTCCAAAAAGCTCCATGAGTTCTTGCATTTCAACAGAGTCTGATTTTTTGAACAGCAGTAGTTTTGCATAAATAAACTTTAGTTTTTTTTGGCGTCCAGTGTCTTTTGATGAGAGAATTAATTCTCGGAGAGCCTAGAAAAAAATTATGTACAAAATTATTTGTTGAAATGAATTCATTTCTTTTTTTTACTTACCTGAAGCAAAATTGTCGCCATATCGCCATATCGTTTAAGTAAAACAATAAAATTGTGAGATAAAGGACTTTCTATTTTTCCTACTTTTAAGTAAAATAAGAGTTTTTCCAAGTCGACCATATTCTTCGTTATAAGCTTATCTTGGCCTTCCTTTACTAATATAAAGCCACTTTCGGAATGTAACATCAAGTACATTTTAGATAGATTAGAAAACTTAAATTTTGGCAGGAAGTAAAACAATATTATAGCCGATTCCAGTGGTTTATCTTTTTTATCATTGGATTCCTCTATGGCACCAATTTGACATACTAATATACTAGTGTTTTCATCAATTTTAGATGCATAGTGCAGCTTAAATATTTCTCCTTTGCTTCCTTTAAACTTTTGAATCTTTTCTATAGCCATGTTAAGATCCAAGTCTAATAGTATCTTTAGTCGTTGAGGGCTTACATAGCCATTTTGAACAGCGGGATAATTTTTAGATGTTTTAAGCTTGTATTCAAGGAGCGCACTGCTGTCACTTCTTATAATGCCGTTCTCTTCGAGATCGACAGTGAAAGGCATGTTAATATCAATACCTATACTTAAATATTCAGGACATAATGAGTTGATATAACCTATTTAAAGAAAATTAAAAAAAAACATATATGATTATAATATACATATGATTACACATATAATATACATACATACATATATAATTGAATGTATGTGTGAATCTTAAATTACAAAATTCGCAGGGGCAATTATAATAAATTAAGTGAAATACCCACGAAGATATTAGAAACATTGTATGTATGATTTCCTAGGAAAATGGTTTTACAACTTACATGTACGGTTCAATCCAGTTATAGTTCCCTTGAAAATGGAATTTATATCCTTCAGAGCTTGATAAATTTGATTGCAAATTTGATCAGCATACTCTATATGCTCCGGATTTATATTGTCACTCATTTTGGGTAGTTTTTGAAGCAAAACTTCAAGTGCGTCGTTAAATTTCAGCGGCATTGCGATTATGGAATTTTTCTCTTTTCTTGATTCGGGGAATCCAAGCTCAACGAGAACGCTAGGTATGTGAAATCAAAAAAGTTACTTCCATAGAGATGGACAATAGGAGGGGATTTTTATAATTGGACGATATATATTAAATGGTGTAAAGTGTGGTGAGTAGTTTTCAGCGTGACCGGTGGAAAATTATAAATGAAAGGTGGCTTTTGGGTTTGAACATAAAAGGAAAAACGAAAATTGAGCCGAGTATGGTATAAAGAAATAAAATTAATTGTTTTGATTTGACCTAAAAGATTTCGTTAAAATAACTTCGCTGAAGCTCGAGCCGGGCCTTAGAAAAAAGACTTCTCTATTTTTAACTCAAAAATCTGAAAATAGAACGCCCAAGCCCTACAAATTTCCTTTAAAAAAAGCATGGTTTAAAGTTTTCCATTTATTTATTTTATCATTCATTTATTTTAGAGATTTTTTGTTGGTTTAAGGATTGCAATTTGCAACCTTCATTTTCTTAATGTGGTTCATGATGAGTGGCCCTATCACCGGATTTAAAATCAAAGCATTTACAATAGGTGTGGTTGAGGGCTTTACTAAATGAAGGGTTTAGCTTTAATGCAAGCTAGATAGATGTATGTATTGAGTATCTTTGACGGCCAAAAGTAGATTGCGATCCGCAAAAACTCGACAACAATTTGCTAAACACTGTGTTAAATATTGACTTCAATTGGTAGCGTGCATTAATCTCTTCGCATTCATCGCTTAAAATATTTTCATTAGCCATAATTTTATAATTACAGATTAGTCATATGGTACAATCGAAGTAAGGTTTTTCTGGTCAGGGGATTGCAAAAGTCTAGGTTTTCCGTTTGTATTTTCTAATTGCAATTTTAATTTAAAGCTTCCGGCAACTTTTGCATTTATTCGCTCAACATGTAAATATTTTCAAATATTCTGCTTTGTTTTCTGGCTTATATTTGAACTAATGTTAGGTTAATTGCATATTTTGATTCGCTTTGTATTCTGGTTTTTTTTTTAATTTCAATTTTTGTTTGTCGTTTCTGGGCGCAATGTTTGGTTATCGCTTGTGTTGATTGGTTTTTTAATTGTGTTGTAATTTACATGTAAGCTGCATTCTTAGTTACAGCAAGAGAAGTAAATAAAACTTTTTTAAAAGACTACAATAATGTAATAATATAAATAATGTATATTTATAAATAGAAATATATATATTTATTTATGTATATGTATATTAGACACATTGTATTGCATGTAAATAAATATCATCTGCGGGTCTTTTGTGGTACTTCATCGTCTTAAAAAGATCAACTTAACTATGTTCCGTATCAAATCACAGCAGAAATCATAAAAAGTCTAAAACTATAAGGGACAGAGTAGAGTGTTGACGGAAAGTTAAAGTCACATAGCACGCGAGGAACTTGCCGAAAAAATAGCATACTTAAACGGGCATCGTCATCCCAAAACGAAATAAACACCGAATTAAATATAAAGTCAGTGTCCGAGAGCAGCCCACTCATCGATTATTCAATGATTAGGCAGCGCGGCAGGTGCTCCTTCAGGTAGTCGAACAGCTCGTGCGAGGCCCCTGGGCAGTTGGTCAGCTCCAGCTCCTGCAGGTGACGCAGCTGGATCAGGCTGGACAGTCCAGATGACGTCAGCAAAGGGCATCCTGCCAGCGATAGAACCTGCAGATTCCGCATCGAGCAGAGGTGCTGCAGCCCGAAGTCCCGCACCTGGGAGCACCACCGCAGAAATAGGGCGGTCAGCGACAGCATCGTGGATATATAGCCCACGCCAATATCCGTAATGTGCACACATCTGAAAAATATTGAAAAAGATTAAAAATGTGTAAATACTCGCAAACAATACAATGAAAACAAAGCAACAATGTTAAAAAATGCATGGATGGTCATTATGGCCCCAGCGAAGGCCATATCTTTGCCAATAATCATCCGATTCTTAAATGGAATACCTTAAACGATTTGTATATCTATTCTTCACAAATCTGCAAAAAAATCTGGATCTTTGTCAATAATCATCCGATTCTTAAACGGAATACCTTAAACGATTTGTAGATCTATTCTCCACAAATCTGCATCAAAATCTGGAAACAAAATAATTTTTCGATTTTTTGTCAAATTTTCTGGAGGGTCTCTTCAAAATGTTGAAAAATGCATGGATGGTCATTATGGGCCCCAGCGAAAGCCATATCTTTGCCAATAATCATCCGATTCTTAAATGGAATACCTTAAACGATTTGTATATCTATTCTCCACAAATCTGCATCAAAATCAGGAAACAAAATATTTTTTCCATTTTTTGTCAATTTTTCTGGAGGGTCCCCTTCAAAATGTTGAAAAAATTCATGGATGGTCATTATGACTCCCAGCGAAAGCCATATCTTTGTCAATAATCATCCGATTCTTAAATGGAATACCTCAAACGATTTGTATATCTATTCTCCACAAATCTGCATGAAAATCAGGAAACAAAATATTTTTTCGATTTTTTGTCAAATTTTCTGGAGGGTCCCCTTCAAAATGTTGAAAAATGCATGGATGGTCATTATGGGCCCCAGCAAAAGCCATATCTTTTCCAATAATCATCCGATTCTTAAATGAAATACCTTAAACGATTTGTATATCTATTCTCCACAAATCTGCATGAAAATCAGGAAACAAAATATTTTTTCGATTTTTTGTCAAATTTTCTGGAGGGTCCCCTTCAAAATGTTGAAAAATGCATGGATGGTCATTATGGCCCCCAGCGAAAGCCATATCTTTGCCAATAATCATCTGATTCTTTAACGGAATACCTTAAACGATTTGTATATCTATTCTCCATAAATCTGCATCAAAACCTGGAAACAAAATAATTTTTCGATTTTTTGTCATTTTTCAAAATGTTGAAAAATGCATGGATGGTCATTATGGGCCCCAGCGAAAGCCATATCTTTGCCAATAATCATCCGATTCTTAAATGGAATACCTTAAACGATTCGTATATCTATTCTCCACAAATCGGCATCAAAATCTGGAAACAAAATATTTTTTCGATTTTTTGTCAAGTTTTCTGGAGGGTCCCCTTCAAAATGTTGAAAAATGCTTGGATGGTCATTATGGGCCCCAGCAAAAGCCATATCTTTTCCAATAATCATCCGATTCTTAAATGGAATACCTTAAACGATTTGTATATCTATTCTCCATAAATCTGCATCAAAACCTGGAAACAAAATAATTTTTCGATTTTTTGTCATTTTTCAAAATGTTGAAAAATGCATGGATGGTCATTATGGCCCCCAGCGAAGGCCATATCTTTGCCAATAATCATCCGATTCTTATGCGGAAAACCTTAAACGATTTGTATATCTATTCTCCAATCTGCATCACAACATCAAAAAAAAATATTTTTTGTTTTTTTTTTTAATTTGTCTGGATGACCAGAAACTTTTCAGAAAAAGATGGAAAGTTAAACAACTTTTTTCAAACATTTTTTATCTAATTTTTTTAAGGGTCTTTTGAAAAATTTAAAAAAATAGAGTCTTTTGCCGCAATGATAAGAACTTAAGCCTTAAGTCTTAAGGCCTTAAATCGGCCCAAAAAAGAAGGCTTGGAATATTTGTGAAATACATTTAAAGAGAAATCCCTTGGTTGGGACTAGCGGCTGCGCTCGACTCTACGGAGACTACGACTAATGGCTGCTGCCGGAGATGAGGTGCCGCTTCTGTCCGTCGGAAATTGAATTTTACTCATATATAATTACGAAGCGAGCAAGGGGCGGGGCAGTTGACCTTGCAGTTGGGTGTTTGGGGGGCAGTGGAAACTTACCTATCCAGTGTTAGCTCCTCCAGCTGGTTCAGATCACAGGCGATATACTCGAGCGAGGCGTCAGTAATTCGAGGACACCAGGACAGGTCCAGGGCGCGCAGCTTCTGCAGGTTCTCGGCAATGAGCTCCACTCCGTCGTCCGTCAGCTTGCTGCAACCGGATAGGCTCAGAACCGTGAGATGCGGCAGCGAGTGAACTGCAATCAGACGAAAAATTTTAAAGTTTGGCATTAGTTTTTAGGCATTTCTAGGGGGAAGATGAGGAACATTGAACCGGCAATTGCATTTATTCACTTCACGTAGCGAAGTTCGCTGCAGCTGCTCCACTTTTTCTGGGTAGCACGTTCACTGCAACGGCATCAGCAGCGGAATCGAGGACATGAAACAAACTTGGATGCCTTTGTCACAAAAAGTTTACTTTAAAATTAACTTATATGCACTTCTCGCATATTATATAAAAAAAATGTCTGATCTTGGGATAAAATTATTGCATTTTGTGAGTTATTTAGGTTGCAACTTAAGTCGCAAAATACGTTAAATTAAGCTATGTTTTATTCTTGGATAGACTAATGTGTCGTGTATTTAATTACGGTGACTATTTGAGCCCCAACTACTGTTCCACTTTGGTTAAGACATCTTGTCTTCTCTGCTCGTTCCATTTATGTCGACTACAGTTTGTTCTGTGCCACATTTTGCAGTGTCACCATCTGGCTGTTTGTTCTGTTCTTGTTCTGAATCACGAGCTTTGTGTCCTTCCTCTGGATAAAGGCACAATATTCTGAGTTTACTTAGCTCGGATTTGAGACAGAAATGGAACAAAATCCATTATAAGTTTAACAAGCTGAAGATTAAATAAGTGATGACATTTTTGAAATATCATACATTTTTGTGATGAAAATTGAACGAGTTGTCTGTACTCTCTGATAAGGTCTAGCCGATAATGGATAACTTATGGCCATTATGCATATATGGCTGCAATTACCATTTGTAAGCCGCTTAGACTTTGGCTAATGGGAGTTAGGCACATTCCCTTTATCGGAGGAGGGTATGGCCGCCGGGGGGCAGAAGAACACGTGCGGCGGCTGCGTAAACAGAGATAAAGGGCCCAAGGAAAACAAACTCCAAGGAGAGAGACAGTGTGTGTATCTTTGCGGGAATATTCCGCCCAACAACCACTTCCCACTCACCCAGAATCTAAGGAAGTCGAAAAATGCAGGGTCCGGTCTTGTAAGCCGCTTTGTTTTCATTTAGAGCGACTTCATATTTATCACAACATGCACATACAGAGAACAAATTTTCTTAAATATAAAATAAAAAAAAATATATATGTATATTTATTATTAAGTTTATTGAATATATTCCATGAATTTCTGATACTAAGTATCATTAAATGTTATCAGTTATTAGACATATTTTTCAATAAAACCAACAATTTCTGATTTAATAGTGATCTAACACATACCAGTATGGATGTATAGGTGGTTATGTGGCCCACTTTGGTTACCGACAGATACTCAGATACTCGAACTCAGCAGTACTTGGTAAAAGCAAACTACACTACTAGGGGGCTCTCCTTGTTTGGCTTCTGACCAAAAAAACCACAAGGCTTACGAAAAGCGATTTGAATTACAAAATATGGGCAAACGAGCGAATCCACATGAAGATAACCGCGATACTGCCGGCTTCTGGGCCAAAATGGAAAACTAACGGCCGAGCTGGAAAGCAAACAGTGAGCTGAATGAATAGGGCTATGAAAAATTAACACAACCATCTTGTCTATTGACTAACCTACTTGGAACTCATAAAGAGTTGTTTGTATTTAAGAGAGTTTTCCATTGAAACGATGGAAATAAGTTTTTAAAGTGGTCCTATTTCACGAAATCACTGATTGGGTATCTGAATGGGATTGAATATTTGGAGCCACCTTGCCATTCCATTTAAAATATTAAAGACATTCAAGAGATTCCCTTTTTAGCTGGAAATCTTGAATTGGCAAAGGAATTGCAAATCCATGGCTAATGCATATTCCAGCCAGTAATTGAGGTGGCTCTTCAGGGGGAGCTGATGGGAGACCCAGCGAGAAGCCACAGCAGTGACAATAACCGTAACGTTGACGACCAGTGTTGCTAGGCGACGGCAGCTCCTCAAGGAGCTAACTGTAATTGTATCTACGGCAGCAGAAAAGCAGCAGAACGGCGGCAGCAGCACTAGATATGTCGCCCCAAAAGCTAAAAACCGCAAAAAAAAAAAAAGAAGACAGGCAACGACAAAGGCGTCTCTGTGCAAACAAACATCTAGTACACATACAGTCTATAAACTTTAAAAAAGAATTTAAATCCATAGGGCAGAGATAGTAAAAAACATGAATTTCATCATTGGCATCCTTCAAACTTTTACATTTTCCTCCTTCAACTTCACCATTTATCCTTTAGAACCAGGCCCATTCTTTGAGCTACAAAATCCAGGTTTATAGAAGCAATCTTGACTGTAGATAGATGTTGCACAAACGTAGATACAGTTACGATGCACTACCAAGCGAAGTGCTCGTATTGGAAACTGTGAACTGTGATTAAGCGCCGCTGGCGACACAACCAGACCACAACAGAAGGGGAGGCGGGCGAAAGGTTATGCCGGAATGGAGGACGGAGGATAGGCGATAGATAATCGATCGCGGCCAGAGTGACATCTATTGAATTTCACTCGGAGCGAATTCAGTGCAGGGATTGTGCATTAGAAGCCCCTCACATGGCGCCCAAGTACGGCCCCGATGAGTCGCCGCTTATTTATCAAGCCTGCGATCGCCGCTGCAATTCATTTTATTATCAGAGCTCAATCGATGCGCAGCCATCTCGTGATTCTCAATTTCAAATTCAATCTCGATCCAAATCCCAGTTCGAAAGCTAAACTTTATTACGGAGTGAAGTGTTTTTGAAGACAGAATGTTGCAGTTTCGTTTTGTGACCGACACTAACGGGTATTTAACAGGATTTACAGGATTACTCGTTTTTGCGATCACAAATCCTGAAATTGCAGCAAAAAACAGCAAATAAAATATCATAGTTGGTGTAAATATCATTTCACATTCCATTAGGAGCAGTAAAAACGAAAAATGTGTTTTAAAAAAGGAGACTATTTTTCATCAAGCTATCAAACTCAGTAGACATATTTATTAAAGTGATTAAAATTCTTAAAATACTTTGTGAATGTCTACAAACAACATTTTTCATAGAGACTAAGGTCTCACAACCTAAGAAAATCGCAACCTATTTTATATTGATAAGAAAATTGAATGCCAAATAGAAAATACAACGCAATCTGGAAAGTTACTCTGAACAGACTATTCATATAATCAGCTAAAACGATTGGGAATTTTTATAAAATATTCTTTCATCCATTAGACCTTGAAGTTACTTATGATTCTCTTAATATTTTTATTAAATTCATGTTTTTTTTACTTTTTTGTTTCTGAAAGTCGGGAAAAAGTTGGAAATGAATCCCTAGTTCTATGAATAAATTGGGTTCATTATCTGGATATTTTCGAGGGATTATGAGCCGGGAGAGAAAGGTCTACCTGACTGTTTGATATGGAAATATGGAAATGAAAATTCGCGCTTGGAAGGACAGCGGCCGTAACTGTAACAGGACATCAAAAATAGTGTCCCAAAACATGAAATAAAAGCTGGTTTATATTCGAAACATATTTACTTCTCATTCGCACGCACGCACCTACGCACTCGTTGAGACAGGGACAAGTGTCAATAGAGGGATGAGATCCGGCTCCTGGGATGGGTGGGTAACATAAACATGTCAGGCAAACAACTTGTAACTTGTGTATCTATGAGATACATTTACATTTCCCATAACAACTAGCGACGTTTATGTGAGGCTCGTTTGGCATTCAGTTTCTGTTTTCTAGGCGTTTTTTTTTTTGCTGCTGCCCCACCTCTGCACACTCAGCAAGTTCCTGGCTGTCACATTCAAGGATACGCTTTTCCCGGATTTTCCCCACACATCTCCATGAGCTGTCGGAAAATATTTAGTCTATCGTGGCTGACAGTTGTGAATTTGATTGGCTCATTAGCAAAAGTTTGGAGCACACGCTTGCCAATGACCAATAATTTTATTTTCATTTCAAACTTTTCAACTTTTCCTTTTTATTGGCAAAGAAAAATTCTATATTCTTTGACTTTTCCATTCACCTCCTTTGTCGAGTCAACGATTTTTATTGATTTTCTGGGCATGTCTTGCCATTTTCTGCCATTCGAATTTCGAATTCACATGTGGAAAGTTATGTTCACATTTCAGCATTTGTTTATGACATTCATTTGATGATTGCTGATTTTTCAAATTGCCTCGTTTGGGGTTCGACAAGTCGCTTATGAGGTCAATGAGGCAAATTGCATTTGCTGAAACTTTCATGAGTATACGGTGCGTATGCGTGATGTGATTATTACGCATACGCACTGGTTACACACAAAAAAGTTGGCTACTTATTCAAGTACTTGTAAAGTATACCACCCAGTGTTTATACAAATAAATATTAAATTATTTTATGACCAAAGCCCATCAAAGTTGAATCAATAATTAAATCTACTTCTCCGACTTTTCCCAAGAAAATTAAAACTCATTCATGCAGACCCGGGCAAAGCTGCTTAAAGTTTAACTTCAATTTGCTGCCACCGGCAGTGGCAGTGGCAGTGGACGTGGTGGGGAGTCATTATGCCAATTACTCGGAAGTACTGCCAGTGGTTCGCTGGAAAATGCCATGAAATTTCACAGCGGCAACAAAACTTTTACGAGAATATTAAGCAAAGCAGCTCTTTCTGCCTGTGACAGTGGCAGCATAAAAGTATTTCAGTTTAATCAGCTCGCTATGAAACATGACAGATTTGAAGGCAATCCTTAACAGAAGAGAGTTAGAATTAATAAAAAAAAAAATTCTTTAAGGTCTTTGTATTAAATTCCTAGAATCTCTCGAAATTCTCTTTGTAGTTCAAGTTCCTCACTTACTAAAATCCCAACCAATTTTGCAGGCCGAGGATTAACCGCTTCGGGGTTTAAGTGGCCTGTCAATTAACGGCAAACTTTGAGGCCAAAACAATGAATGCGCAAATGAGCAAAATGTCAGAAGGCGGGGGAAGGAATGCGACCCGGGTCCCCATGGCATAGGCAAATAATGTTCGAAACGTGCAGGCCT